CCGCCCTCTCTTTCCCTTCCTTTCCTTTCCCCCTCCCTTCCCCTCTCCTCCCCTCCCTTCCCCTCTTCTCCCATTCCCTCCCCTCTCCTCTCCTCTCCCATCCTCTTCCCCTCCCCTCCCCTTCCCTCCCATTACTATTCCCCTTCCCCTCGTCTCTCCCCTCCCAGACACACCTGGCAGTTATCAGGGCGTTGTGCTCAGGGTCCAAGGTACCATATGGAGTGCTAGGGATCAGACCCAGATCAGCTGCATGCAAGACAAATGCCCTACCTGCTGTACTCACTCTGGCCCCCATCCGTACTCACTCTGGCCCCCATCCTTACTCCTTTTGTCCAGAAATCTGTTTTTGGATACAAGTGTAGCTGTGCCTTTCATTTAAAAGTTACTGTTTTAGCTTTTGGCTCTCCGAATGGCACCATGGTGGTCGACAAAAACAAGTGCCTTACCAAAGATGGCAAAAAGGAAGCCAAGAAGAAAGTGGTTGATCCATTTTCTAAGAAAGACTGGTATGACGTGAAAGCACCCACAATGTTTAATATAAGAAATACTCGGAAAATGCTTGTCATCAGAACCCAGGGAACCAAAATTGCATCTGATGGCCTCAAGGGTCATGTATTTGAAGTGAGCCTTGCTGATCTGCAGAACAGTGAAGTTGCTTTTAGGAAATTTAAGCTGATTACGGAGGATGTTCAGAGCAAAAACTGCCTGACAAACTTCCATGGCATGGACCTCACCTGTGACAAAATGGTCAAAAAATGGCAGACCATGATTGAGGCTCATGTTGATGTCAAGACTACCGATGGTTATTTGCTTCGTCTCTCCTGTGTTGGTTTCACTAAGAAGCGCAGTAACCAGATTTGGAAGACGATGGTAGAGATCATGACTCGAGAGGTGTAGACAAATGACTTAAAAGAGATGGTCAGTAAATTGATTCCAGACAGCATTGGGAAAGACATAGAAAAGGCTTGCCAGTCTGTTTACCCACTCCATGATGTCTTTGTTAGAAAAGTAAAAATGCTGAAGAAACCTAAATTTGAATTGGGAAAACTCATGGAGCTTCATGGTGAAGGTAGCAGTTCTGCAAAAGCTACTGGAGATGAGACAGGCGCTAAAGTTGAATGGGCTGAACCAGTCCAAGAATCTGTTTAAAATTCAGATGTTCATTGGTAACAAATAAAAGTTTTATTTCTGGTAAAAAAAAAATAAAAGTTACTATTTTATTATGAAATTGTTTTCCAGCTTTTTATCTTGAAAGTGCAGGTTTGTTTTTCCTGTAGGCAGCAAAGTTTTCAGTTTTAGGGATGGTGGTGGTGGTGGTGGTGGTGAGGGTGAAGGTGAAGGTGAGGGTCCTGAGGGTCGCTCCTGGTGATACTTGGCAGCTGGGCCCAATGGTTTAGTGCTTGGTGCTAGGGACCACAAGGGCTTCCAGAGGGCTCATGTGGTGCTGGGGTTTGAATTTGGGTCTTGCTGGATACAAAGCATGTGCATCTGACCACAGAGCTATCTCCCTGGTCCCAAACTTTGTCTGTTTCATTCTACAAAACTGCCAATTAGTGGGTGAATTCAGAGCATTGATATTTAAGGTAATGAATGAATTAAAAATATCTGTTGCTTATTAGTTTTTTTAATCGCTGTTCTTTGTGTAATTCCTTCTCTCATAAAATTCTTTTTGAATTTCTTCTTTAATTTTTAAGTTTTTCTTCTGTAGATTTTTAGGATTATCCTGATGTTTATATGCCAAGTCCTACACTTGTTGCCTTTTACATGGATCTTACATTCATGTTAGCGGGCCATTCTCCCTCCCTTCCACAGTATTATATAATTTTTGATGTCTGACTACTAGATGAGCTTAATTTTGAATTTTTAAAATATTTCTTGTAGAGCCAGTCTTATAGTGATGCATTGCTTTTTTTTTTCCCCTCAGGTTGTTTCCTTCTACTCTCATTGGTGATCCAGAAGCATAGTATTGGGTTTAAAATCCTTTTTATCTTCCTTTAGAAATTTATATATTTCATATCATTCTCTTCTGGTATCTGTAGAAAATTTTCTGAGGGTTCTTATGTTTTCCCTTAGAGACTTTCCCATAGTGTTGTTGCAGCAAATCTAACTTTAGGTTCTTGTCAGTGATATACAAATAGTACCAGATGTCTTCAGCTTTACAGCTCTTTATTTTTATTTTATAGCTCACACAGGCATGCCTCTTCATGGTGACTCTTTGATGTAATCTTTAGCAGCAGCAGTAACAGCAGCCCTGCGTATCCCTGAACTCATACAGGTTATGTATCCCTGTCCCTTAAATCTTTCTGCTGATTATATCAGTCAGGTTGAGCATCCCCTATGCAAATGGCCAGTCAGACTGCATGTGTAAATGAGGGTTTGTGGAATGGCCAGATTGTGTATGCCATATGTAAATGAGGATTCCTTGAGAAACTAAACTACTTGCCCCTCCTCCTCATTTCCTTTGTAACGGTATCATGTTTAATATTAATTTTTTGAGTATGCTTGAGTTTATTTTGATAGTATTTAAAAGTCTCTTGTGTTTGAAGTTTTAATTTCTTTACAAATTAGGGAGGCTTTCAGATATTTCTTTTGTTTTGTTTTGGGGCAGGAGCGATAGCACAGCAGAAAGGGCATTTGCCTCGCATGCGGCTGACCCGGCCAGCCCCGGGTTCGATTCCTCTGCCCCTCTCGGAGAGCCCGGCAAGCTACCGAGAGGATCTCGCTCGCACGGCAGAGCCTGGCAAGCTCCCCGTGACATATTCAATATGCCAAACACAGTAACAAGTCTCACAATGGAGACGTTACTGGGCCTGCTTGAGCAAATCGATGAACAACAGGAGAACAGTGCTAACAGTGTTTATTTTTGGGTCACACCCAGCGATGCTCAGGGCTGACTCCTGGCTCTGCACTCAGGAATCACTCCTGGCGGTGCTCAGGGGAACGTATGGGATGCTGGGAATCGAACCTGATGTGGCCCAGCGCTCTGCCCGCTGTGCTATCCCTCCAGCCCCCAGATATATCTTTTAGGATTTCTACCCTTCCTCCTTTTCTGGTATCCTTAAAATCTTGATAAATTGGTATACTCCAATAAGGTTCCTTCAGTTTTCACATTTTAATGTTAACTTTTCTACCTTTTTTGAGTTTTCCACTGCTATATTTTTCAACTCATTGTTTCTTCTTTATGACTATTAATACATCACCTATTGTAGTCTTTAGCCAGGCTATTTTACATTTCACAATCACGATCATCCTGTTGTTCATTGATTGCCTCAAGCAGGCACCAGTAACATCTCTTTTGTCCTAGCCAGGATTTTAAAAAGTGCTCTTTTTCAAGGCTCTTTCAGGGTTAGGAGAATGAGACCCTTCATTGTTACTGGTATTTGGCATATTGGGTACCCCACGGGGAGTTTGCCAGACTCTGCCCTATGGGCAGGTTACATTCGGTAGCCTGCCAGGTTGACCAAAGTAAGAATGAGATAATGAGATAATAATAATGAGATAATAAGATGCACTGCCGCAAATGCATTCAAAACCCTTTTTTTGTTTTAAGATGTTTTTGTTTTCTTATCCTTGTTTTAAGTCTCAGAGTTTTCTGTTTTTCTTCATCAGGCTTAAGTTACACTACACTAGACCTCTTCCTTTGCTTTTGTTTTTACTCCATTGTTTTACTCCATAGTTTGTGATAAATTTGATTTTTTCACTTTAATGTCATACATTATTGTGATTTGAATTGAGTGGTTGCGTTCCCTTACTTGCTGTGCAACTTCCAGATTTGTAGAGTGCAGGATATAATCCTGAGATACTTACTCAGGATACTGTGGTATCTTTGCTTTGTAAACTGACACTTCTGTATACCTGATGAGGTGATTAGAGACCTGTTGCCCACACAGAGTAAATGCTGAGGTAATGGGCAAATTACTCTTGGAGGGAGCCATGAATTCAGGCCTCTTTCTGAGGCTTAAGTATCCAAGCTGAGGGCACCATATCTGAAACCTTTCTTCCATTCTAGACTAGTTCCACTTTCTGTACCATCTTTAGGTTATCAGTGAGTGTGGACAGGGGAAAGTTGACAGGAGGAGAGCAATCTAAGAGGTAAGGTTTGGATTTAGGCTCTGGTCTTAACAGAGATCATCTGTGGGTTAGTTCTCCACTGTTGACTATTCCTTTATTGTGATAATATATGTATACCTTCATAAGTTCAAAATATTTTGAAGTTTTTCCTTGGAAGCATCCTTGGGCTAGTTTTACAAGGAATAATAATCTTTGGTGTCAGAGTGATAGCATAGTGCATAGGGTGTTTGTCTTACATGCAGCTGACCTAGGTTTGATCCTTGATACCTGATCTCTGGGTTCGATGGTCTCTCAAGCCCCCCAGGAGTAAGTCCTTAGAACTGCAAGGTACGACCCCCAAACAAAAACAATACAACAAAAAGGAATAATAATCTTCTGTGAAAACAGTGAATAACTGACATAGGATGGAAAGCTATTGTAAAAATAAGTTGAAAGATTCAATTACAGACTGAAACCAATTAATGAGACTTTATTACAGTAATTACAAACAGTATTTTAGTGATATTTAACCATATTTCAATTATTCAAACTTATATACAGATAGACATTTATACAAGGCTACATTTTTTTTAAAGAACACTTAATGAGAAAATAATCACATTATCAACAGGACTTTATCCCTAAACATTGTGGCCAATAAAGGAAATTCACAGTTATTCTTAAAGTTTCAAAAAGATGCAGAAATCATTGCACATAATACAGTGATAAACTTTACTGAGCATACTTATATAGTTCAATCTAGTTTTTCACAGAAACTGTCAGGCAATACTTCACTGTATACAGATGGAACTCTAGAACAGGTTATCTTACAGACCTTCACTATGATGGCCGCAACATTAATTTTAAGTTGTATTTAAAATTTTACTATACAAAAAAACCTCCAGTGTAAGAAAACGTAGCAACAAAATTATAATTTGTTCACAGGAAACTTCTGTTTTTCTTTTTAGTGTTCTTCTTTGTCTTTTCCTCTCTTTTCCTTTTCATCCTGTAGTGCAGTACCAAGCTTTTTGATAAGAACAGACAAAACTTTGTCCAGTGGGTCCATGACTCCTCTTTGAAGCCATTTAGGAATAGTAGTCCTGGCATGATGAAAGCCCAGTTTTTGAAGAATATAATCAACACCTACTGGATCAATCTTTCTTCCAGTCCAGGAAATTAATCTAAAACAATTAAAAATAACAGTTAAGGGGCATAGTGCTACATGTAGTACAATCCTGAAGGGGGTGAGTTCAAGTTCAAGAACATTACTAAGCCTCTATAATTGGTTCAATACATGATATTTTCAGCATGTGCATTCTGAATGATCTAGTCATTGATCACATACTGACTAGTGCCAGTCTACAGATGTAAAAAGGGTGTAATCACAGGACTATTATGTTAGTTATAAATGCTAGTCCATGGATCGGTCTGAAGAACTGACTGAAGGTGTAAAAAGGTTGAAGAACACTCATCTGACCTACAATTCCTGACCTTAATCCTGTACTATCCCTCTGGCCTATCATTCACAGCCTTCTCAGAGTATTCCTACAGCTTACCTCAGGGTGGGTTCCAGATGCCATGTATTGCACAGGAAGTCTCTCCAGTCCACGGTAGTATAAGTGATGCCGTCTTCTCTGTCTCTGTCAGAGGAATTCTCATCATGGATAATAATTGGGCTTTTCTGTCCTGGTCGAGTAGATAAAATCCGAGGTGGAAAAATGGCTGTAATGAAAATGAGAGATTAATACTACAACTGTGCATCTTATTTATTTTAAATTACTATGCAGTAAGAATAATTGGTTCCATTTATCAGTTTATTTGTGAATTGGCCAAAGCCCGTTACATTTCCTAAAGTGTTATAATCTCAAATGCATGTTGAACCATAAATACATGCCATAATTGCCCTTCTCGTGCATAAGTACTCTTTCCTCCCAGTGACTAACAAAGTTTGGCTTTGTACTCAAAAGTAGGTCTGTCAAATAGACCCACAACATACTGCAGTGAAGAATCAACATATTGTGATTTGTTGAATTTCACTTGCATCTGTTGTTTTCTACTTTCATATGGATTTTATTATTTCTCTGACTCACAAATAAATAACATACTAGTCACAGAGATGGAAAATGTAATTTAAAATTACAATTTAAGAGAGCAGTGATAATATTTTTGATGAATAGGAAAAGGATTTCAAAAGAGATTTTAACTGGATCAAGTTATGGTTCTAATGATAGTGACATTACTCTACCAGCAGAGAAAAACCTGAAAGCTATGTAAACTATAGAGAGAACATAAGAAAAATGGGTGTTAAAAAGCTAGTTATGTGTGTAGGAAGTTTTTGATACCCAGCTATCTATTATTACTCATCATCATATAGAGAATAATATTTAAATGGAAAGCCTCACATCATAAGTCAATTGCTTGAAGAATAGGAAAAAAAACTCTTGGCTATTCAACCAAAAATACTTGAAAATAAAAAACTGTTCACTTTTGCAAAGCATTGCCAACCAGGTTTACATTCTGCTAAATTACTTTACAAAGTACTACACTTATGAAAATTATAATCTATAAATGTATAGATTAATATATATTTATATTCACAATATGGCCATATAATAAATCATTAAAATAGCATTTAAATTGTATTTGTAATTTTTACTTTCAAATAAATCATATTACACAGTTATAAAAAATTGTTCACGTAGTTGTTTGATCCCAAAACAGTATTTCTTTGAATAAAATAGCACTGGTATTTCTATATTATTGTTAACTTTTGAGGTAAGAACTACTGCTATTTCACAGTAGGTACTGGGAATGATATATAGTGAATAAATTTTTAACAATTCTATTGAGATAATTTGGGATCTTTACATTGAATACTCAAAATTTATAGGCCTCTGCTGGCAATAACGAAAAGTATATGTGTATATATATATGTGTGTATATAAATATATATGTATATTTACGTATATACAAATATATACATGTATTGATTAAATCTGAGACAAAGATTGCTTTCACATGCTCTTAATGAAAAAGAAAGCATTGTGGAACAGAGTCAATTAATACAGGGGATAAGGAGCTTGTTTGCCTTACTATAGCTGACCCCAGTTCCATCCCCCCGAGCACTGGCAGGAGTCATCTTTGAGCAGGTGGGTCTGGCCCACAGACTACTCCCACAGGGGGAGGAATATTACAATAATATAATATGATACTCCCTAGAGATGCAGCGACTCTGCTTTTCGTGATTGCTGATGGAGGCTATGCTACTCTCAACCCTAACACATTGAAATGCTTGTAATTATATTAAAAATATTTCCCTCACAAATATAGTTTATGGTAGGTTAATACAGTTAATTCTCTAAATGATTGGTTTTACCTAATTATCTAAGAGAAAGCTGTCAAGCTTTGAGATCTAGAAATTTAAGGCAGAGAGGAAAATGAGAGTTACACATGACTGAGATATGTTGGTGCTGTACATAAAGGTAGACAATGTATGTGTTATCTATAAACTGATTTTCAGGCCATGGACCCAGCGGCACACAAGCCAGTCTCGGAACTATGCGGCTTTTGGCAGAAATCCCTCCAGACTTAATCAGTAAAATATCAGAAATCCAAATTCGCACGGCCGTGCAACACCATATGGTCTTCATAACCAGCAATAGAAAACAAATTATTTCACGATGCCTTTTCAGCAGGTTTGATTGTTGGGGGGAAATTCCAAATAACAATGGTGCATCTTTTGTTGAAATAATGAATGTAATCAAAGTAGAGAGAGCTAAATGGAAATCATCTACCTCACAGGCATGGGGAGGGGTGGGATAGGAGGTATATTGGGATTCTTGGTGGTAGAAAATGTCCACTGGTGAAGGGATGGGTGTTTGATCATTGTATGACTAAGACTTAAGCCTGAAAGCTTTGTAATTTTCTATGGTGATTCAATAAATAAATTAAAAAAACAAACAGACAAACTGATTTTCATCAGTTTAAATAGATTTTCATCAGTTTAAATAGATAACAATATTTCACATATTTAGGGAATAGTAATGAGAGAGTAGTAGCACTGATGCCTTAAGTGCTTGCTTCAGTAACTTTTTCCCCCAAACATCATGAGGCAGTTTATTATACTTACTCTTTATGAAAACAACTAGACTAATTATCTCAACAAGATTTATAAAGAGATCCTGTTTCAACTCTGTAGTCATGTAATTATACAGTAAATAGTTATAATAATAACCATGTATTTGGAGAGTATTCCATTGTATGAACATACAACCAGTTTTTATAGGGATATTAGGGGTCTCTCTATAGCTTTTAATGGGCAAATCTTAAATTTCCAGTGAGCAAACCAATATAAGATAATCAAAACAAGCTTCTCTGTTCACTTGGGAACCAGAGTGCTACACAGGTTAGGGTGTGTGCCATGCATGTACCTGACCCCAGTTTTATCCTCAGAACATTGCTGGGTGAGGAGTGGGGGAATTATTTTACTTTGATTAGCAGTATTTAAACAGAGGGTTTCTTTTTTTCTATAGAATTTCCTACAGGGCCTAACACTGCTCACATCTTTGGAAACACCACCTACCTTTTTCTTTTTCTTTCAGATAAGCCGACACTAGATCATGGAGGAACATGATGAGCTCAGCATCCATGGTTACGCAGATGTGGTCCGTGAACTCTGTAACCACGCTGCATTCCACCTTGGGCTTCAAGTTAGCATCTGTCACAGTAAATGAAGTTCTTTATAATAAAAAAATGCAATGAAATACATTCCTTTCCCTTCCCATGAAGAGAGCCACATAAATGCAGTTTGAAGGAAAGGAGTGATTTCTATGACAGTGGGGGTTTGCATTTGTTCCTTATCCAAGCTCTGCTCAAGCAGTTTTCTCATTCTCTTCAGCTTCCTGAAGAGAAAAAGGCACACCTGATGGATAACAGGCTTGGAGAGAGGTTCTGTGGTTGGTAAGAAAGCCAATTTCCTTAGCTATGTTAGTATTAACAGAAGTGAGTTGTGCGAAAAGCCATGCATGAAGTTCCTTTAGCGTTTTCTTAGTAACTAGAAACTGAGTTCCACATACCCTGGAGTGACGGTTCCTGTGGTTCTTGAACATGAATAGATTTAAAATCAAGCTGCATCCTTGGAAGTGCAAAAATCGTCTCTGTTTCATGATTGTAGCTAGAGCCTCCCCTAAATCCACTCAGCAAACTGGAGTTCTTCACAGTTGTGCTATTCTCAGCATTATTTGCATCAACATTCCGAAGAAGATTTAGCTCTAGGTGCGTAATGATAAAGAAACGAGTAAAGAACAGGCAGTGGGCCCTAGTGACATTACAGCAGATAGAGTGGCTCACCTTGCATATGGCCGACGTGGGTTCTATCCCCAGTGCCCCATGTGGTACCCTGAGCCTGCCAGGAATAATTCCTGAGTGCAGAGCCAGGAGTAACTTCTGAACACCACAGGCCCTCAAAAACCAAAACCAAACTGGCACCGGTAACTTACTTTAAAAACCAGGAATTACTGAATATTTACATACAGAGCCAGATATTCAGCTATTTTGTCACTGTTTCTCAGGTTTTAGAATGACGAGCCTGAATTCATGTCTGAATTTGAGTTTGATTAAACTTAAAATCGTCAACAGATTAAATATTTTATTTATCGAATTTACGAGTCTTCTGCCCCTGCGCCTGGCTGTTCCTCGCCGGGGCCCGTTGGAGGGGAGTGGGTTGAGCTTTCCTCCCCGCCCCGACCAGGGCTCTGGCAGCCGAAGACCTCCAGGACCAGCCACCACCATGCTGAGACCACTCTCCGCACACATGAAGGTACTGGCAGAGGGACAAATCCACGCGGGTTCCGGGGCCGAGATCTCCCAGCCTACTCGGATTGGAGTCGAGCATCCTCCACCCAGATCCTCCAAATTCCAGTAGGCGGGGGTCACACCCACCACCTGGCCCCCTGGCGCCGTGTAATCCCATCAGCGGCCAAGACTCAGAGACTATAAAATCCAGCTCCCGGAACTGCGCGGCTGCATTTGGCCGCGCGACATCTTATCAGGACATCTTTTTATGACACCTTATTATCTCATTCCTACTTTGGACAAACTTGCAGGCTATCGAATGTAGCCTGCCCACACAGCAGAGTCTGGCAAACTCCCCGTGGCGTACCCAATATGCCAAATACCAGTAACAATGATGGGTCTCATTCTCCTAAAGAGCCTTGAATATAGCACTTTCTTCAAAATCTCAGGGCTAGGATGAAGGAGACGTTACTGGGGCCTGCTCGAGGCAATCGATGAATAACAGGGTGGTTGTGATTCGTGATAATTTTTCCTATTGATCAATTTAAAGAACGTTTGGTGGTATGATCTCTCTGATGTGTGGCATCACAGTGTACTATCCATCAGTTGGTGTGTTAAATTAAACAATGTGTTAATTTGACTTAATTTAAATTAACAAGGTGTTAATTGTTTTAGTATGCTAATAGCTCCTCCAGAGAACTCCAACCAAAAATAACCCTTTCCCCTAAAATCTATTGGAAGGCAAATAGGTCAAATGTGCCTGTTGATGTTTTAATTTGATTCCTGATTCCCAGAACAATTTCAGCAGTCGCTGACCCCTGGGGCTCTAGTGGAGATGAAGTGCATGTAGAAGGTTGCTTTTGTTTCTGTACAAAAAGAATTTCAGTGGCTGTGGTATTACAAGACTGGTGAATCTACTCAAATGAGAAAACACTCATTAACTTGACTTCATAGGAGTCAAGTCAAACACTAGGTTCAGGATGGCTGGAATAAAATGAAATGGAAGTTTGAGACATTTTATTACTGTGCAATAACTTTCTCATTCTGCCAGTGTTAAGTATTATTAATGTTAAATAATTTTAATTTACTTACACCAATTTCATTCTGAATGTTTATAGTTACACCTAAAATAATTATGGTCTGATACCAAGTGGTGAATCAGGGCCTAATACTGTACTTGTTAGGAGTAAAGAGAAACTAAGTAAAGCAATGAAAACCCTACAAGATTAGCACAACTGAAAACAGTGAAAACAGTCTAGTTCATTTATGAGAATCCCACCTTCGTTTCTTGTGGCTGTCACATAGTTGAACCATTCTTTCACACTTGCTACTCCATGGGGTGGGTTTTCATGGCGACGCCTTGTGATCTTGGTTATTGTTGCCATGGGGCTTTCCAAAGCACCACATGGTTTGGTGACCATGGTGTTATGACCCAGATGAAAATCCAGAGTCTGTACAATGTAAGTGGAATGGTCACTGGAACCTAGAGGAAACAAAGATTTTTAATGTCTGCTCTGACCCTAAAGCTAATATGGAGCTAAGTCCATAAGTGTGCAGACAGGGTGGAGAGAAGTATACGTGGAAAAAAAGAAATCACAAGTTACTTTTCTTCTGGTTATGACTGAATTATCCCCAGCAAGAAGATGAAGAGCATTGACCATTTTTCCCTTCTGAGTAAGAACTGGGTTAATCATGGTCAAGAAAAACAAACACTTGTCCACAACAGCTGAATACTACTGTGTCTTTTCTACATTGCTCATAGAAACAGTGACTTAGTATGACACTTGCACACGCCATTTATTATGCATTCTGGCTCCCAGGCAGGAACTCCTGAAAGGTCAGGCACATGGTAACAGATGAATTCAGAAATCGGAAAGGAAAACTACTTGGATCAATAGATAGGAATGTGTCACTTTACCGTCTTCCCAGATTTTCTGCGCTTCAGTCCAAAAAGCAATATTTGGTTCTTCTAAATGAAAAAGGGCCCAGGATTTTGACCGGAAATTTGGACCATGAAAACAAGCCAGTGTCATATGATTTCCATGTAAGCTCATTGATCCTCCAAACTGCATTCCATCCTCTGGAAGTGGGATCTGAAACAGGGAGATGTGGCATCCTGACACCACCTTCAGCACTCCGGGCCAGTGGCGATGGTGAGCTGCATCCAGCACTGCAAGAAAACCAGACCACTTACCCTGTTGCCTCCTGCATGTGCCCATTGGCAGGGGCACCAGGGCTGTCTTGTACATGGAAAGGTTACGGGGAAGGGATGACAACAAGGATACCTGGTCAACTTGAAGATACAGTCTGAAAAAAGATGCCTATAGATGGAGTTGTAACTAGCATTTCTTTGATAATTAATAGCCAACAAAGTGTGGGCATGAACTTTTTACAGTTCTCCCACTACCTCTGCACACTAGGGTTTTCATATAGTCTCTTCAAGAAGTACAAAAAGTGCTGTGAGAGTAACGCCTAACAATAACAAAACAGTATATGATAAAAAGAGCTCAGTCTTGCAGCAGCACTATCTGGGAATTGAATCAGACTGCATTTTGAAAGGCAGGGGGAGGGGGGCGGGGGAGGAGATACATCATTTCCCCTATACCACCTCGTGGATATAACCACAAACGCTGGCTAGAGCGATAGCACAGCGGTAGGGCGTTTGCCTTGCAAGCAGCCAGCATGGCTGACCCGAGTTTGATTCCTCCGCCCCTCTTGGAGAGCCCGGCAAGCTACCGAGAGTATCTCGCCCACACGGCAGAGCCTGACAAGCCACCCGTGATGTATTCGATATGCCAAACACAGTAACAACAAAAATCTCCAATGGAGACGTTACTGGGCCCGCTCGAGCAAATCGATGAACAACGGTAGGGCCTTTACCTTTACCTTTACCTTTATGCCTCATTCAATGGCATGTCTTTTTAGTTTTCTTTGCTCTAAAATATTACCTATATCTCTTTATCTTCTATCACAAGGACCTTTTTGAAGACTTTGGACCAGACCTTTTAAAGAATATCCCTCTATTTTAACGAAATCAGAAGATTAAAAAAAAAACAAGAAAGAACAACTTTTTAAAAAAGTCAGAGGAGGCTGGAGTGATAGCACAGCGGGGAGGGCATTTGCCTTGCACGCGGCCGACCCAGGTTTGATTCCCAACATCCCATATGGTCTCCTGAGCACCACCAGGGATAATTCCTGAGTGTAGAAACAGGAGTGACCCCTGTGTATCGCCGGGTATGACCCAAAAAGAAAAAAAAATACTCAGAACCTGTGTGGCATGCCAACAGATTGCGTGGAGTACATATCCCATAAAATTAAAAAAAAAAAGTCAAAGAAGGAAGGTAGGACATTTTCCTGGACAACTGGGAATTGTGGTCTTAGATTTTGTCTACTGGTTTGACACTTAGATGTCAGTTGTGTAATATGGTGAAAAAGCAATAGGACAAAAGATAAGCAAAGTACAAAGTTGACTGGAAAAGACAATGAAATAACAGGGAATGAAATATCAGGGACAGAAAAGTAATGAAGTACATGCTTCTAAGTGCTCATTGGTATTTTTTTCTGGGAGGAGTTGTGATTTTTTTTTCCCTGGGGGAGTATTTCTAGATTTTGTTCTCAATGTACATGTACTAATATGTTACTACAAAAATGACCCTATTTTGACGACTACTTACCATTTTTACCTTTCAGCATTCTAGTTAATGTCACCTGGACTCCTACAGTGGTCTTCTTATAACCATAATGTAACTGTAATTATTGTAATGGCCTCCTGACTTCTATTATTAATCATCGTTGTCAATTCTGCTCATAGGCAGTTATATTTTGAAAATAAATATTTTTGGGAACTGGAGCAATAGTGCAGTGGGTAGGGTGTTTGCCTTGCACATTGATGACCTGGGTTTGATCCCCATCATCCCCTATGTTCCCCAGGCCTATCAGGAGTGACCCCTGAATACCACTGGATGTGTCCTGCTCCTCCCCCAAATAAAAATAAAATTTTTTTTTTGCTTTTTGAGTCACACCCAGCAATGCACAGGGGTCATTCCTGGCTCTGCACTCAGGAATTACCCCTGACAGTGCTCAGGGGACCATATGGGATGCTGGGAATCGAACCTGGGTAGGCCGCATGCAAAACAAACACCTTACCCGCTGTGCTATCGCTCCAGCCCCCAAAATAAAAAGTCTTTTAAGAAAACAAAATATCAGGGGCGGGAGTGATAGCACAGGGGGTAGGGCGTTTGCCTTGCACACAGCCGACCCAGGTGGGATTCCCAGCATCCCATATGGTCCCCTGAGCACTGCCAGGAGTAATTTCTGAGTGCAGAGCCAGGAGTAACCCCTGTGCATTGCCGGGTGTGACCCAAAAGGCAAAAAAATAAAAAAAGACCAGCAAAATATCAGATTTTTTAGAACATGCCAGTGACTACCCTTTATCATAAAAATCTTACCTCTGGCTTGCTTGTGAATGCAAGTCCAGCTTTCAGTACAGAATTGTTTTTCACAATTCAATAGCCACCTAAATTCTCTTTCCTGACCACCTTTCTGAAGTGATCATTGTAATGTTCTCAGTACTTCTCTCTACCTGAAACTATCTTATATACCTAGTTTGTAAAGTGATTGGTGGTCCATCTACCTGTTAGAAGTTTCATGGGGGTAGGACCATGGTCCACTAAGGGACCTCTTAAGACCATGCTTAAGAACATGGTTGGTGGCGCTGAAGAGATAGCTCCCCATGGGAGACACCCCTAATTACCTAGTAGGGAGTACCCTCTTAGTACTGTTGGTTGTGGCCCCAAAACCAGAAAAAAGAAAAAACATGGCTGTTGCCTAATGTGACACAGTGAATTGAGTCCAGATTCAGCTGTTCTAATTCCGGAGACTGTGCTCTAAACCAGTACATGGTATTGTCATAACTGGCATTCATTCAGAAGCATGATGTATGGCTAAAGATGAGTTTTGAAAGGGAGAGGAGATGATACTGACTTCCAAAATTAGGTTCTCTGATTGCTGTGGCAGGTAGGAGATACTTTGCTGAGTGAATAGGATGAACAGTATGTGGACTCTACTTAGTAAGTAGCACTGTAGCACTTTCCTCCCATTGTTCATCGATTTGCTGGAGCTGGCGCCAGTAACATCTCTATTGTGAGACTTGTTACTGTTTTTGGCATATTGAGTATGTCACGGGGAACTTGCCAGGCTCTGCTGTGCAGGCGGCACTCTCTTGGTAGCATGCCGGGCTCTCTGAGAGAGATGGAGGAATCAAATCCGGGTCAGCCGTGTGCAAGGCAAATACCCTACCTGCTATACTATCGCTCCAGCCCGTATGGAATATCAAATTATTTTTCTTGGTGCTGGGGATTGAACATGAAGGACGTGTGCTCTAGTGCCACAACATATCCTCGAGCTCAAGAAACAATATTTAATAGACTAACCCCTATAGAGTGAAAAGGTGAAGCATCTATGAAGTGTCATTCTGATTCTTACATTGTTCCTGTGAACTTCTCTCTAGGTTGTTGGTCATTGTCTTAGGTGGAAGGTAAGGAACTGGTCCCCAAGTAGACAAAGCTCGTTTGCTGGTATCAAACTGCTGTGTAAAAAACTCCTGGAGCTTCATTCCTATTTTTATCAAATCTGGTGTGGTTGATCTTGAGATCATCACTTGGAAAATATCCCACTTCAAATCTCCATGGACGAAAATTTCACTAGGACATAAAACAAAATTCTTATACATCTTATCAAAGAGTTTAGAAGAACAAAAAGAATTCTTTTTCCCACCAAACTTTGTTCATTCACTCATAATAAACTGATTTCTCACTGGAAGAGAGAATGAATTTGAATACCTTTTTTTTATTTTTTTATTTTTTGGGTCACACCCAGCGTTGCACGGGGGTTAACTCCTGGCTGTGCACTCAGGAATTACTCCTGGTGGTGCTCAGGGGACCACAGAGAATGCTGGGAATCGAACCCGGGTCGGCTGCATGCAAGGCAAACGCCCTACCCGCTGTGCTATCACTCCAGCCCCAGAATTTGAATACCTTTTATCAGTCATGCTTGAATCCAGAGTATTGTACAGATTTACTTTCCATTCATCCTGAAGCTTAAGGTCAGCATTGCTGAAGATCCCCATGAGAATGCTAGAACCCATATAATCAACACGAGCTTCAGTGGAACCCATGGTGATTTGAATTTTGTGACTGGGTTGCTGATTTGGATGTTCAGAAATGTGAGCTAGGAAACAGAAATGGTAATTTTCACTGAAAAGTCTAATGGGAAAAACCCAACAGTTATCAAAAAATTTTTCAGCACATTTTTCAGTTGCAAAGTTTCAACATACCAACCATCTCCAAAGCATTGACATCTATGGTCCCTCCAACAACACCTCCTTTAGAGTCCAACTGTGATCGTCCCAGACCCACAGACATGCTTATCTCTCGATCCCGATTACTTCCAACTGAGAGACGGCCCTGGCTCTTCAAACCACTTGTGGTCCAGCTGAAAAAGAAGGAATGTTAAGTAAATACAGGCTCTCTGTCCAGAACTCAGATGGGAAAGTGTTTTGTAAAAGCTTAACAAAGTTCTTATAAAAACAGGTATATTTTTGGCAAAAAAATTCAACAATAAAAGTTTTTGCTTTCTATAAAATAACGAAGTTCTTTTTTTTTTTTGTATCTGAACTACTTACGTTGTATTTCCCATTACGTTGCTCATGTTCATTTGAACATTTAATTGCTTCAAGTTGATAGCAAACACGACGAGTGTTTCCCATGGGGTTCCTTGTTGGCTTGCTGCTTTGTTTGATTTGTTAAAAGGAGTTGATGTTTTTGATAGTGAATCTAAAAAGAAAAAAACAGATGCATGTTACACAGCATTCCATTCTTACCACGAAGAGCCAGACATATACAGTAACAGTATTTTCTTGTGTTAAAGCCTGTTGTTGTTGTTTTGGAAAACAATATGGACATTTCTCAAAAAACTAGAAATCGAGCTCCCATTTGACCCAGCAATACCACTTCTGGGAATATATCCCAGAGATGCAAAAAAAAAAAAAAATACAGTAGAAATGACATCTGCACTTGTATGTTTACTGTAATACTATTTACAATAGCCAGAATCTGGAAAGCCTGTTGTTTTAATAGTTGTCACACTGCCTCTAAATGATGACTTACTCAATGTATTAAGCCTTACTTTGCACAAACTTTGTCTTCCTAGAGAAGTGCTGGTAAGCTCACCATAAATAGAGGCTGTTCTTTCACGCTGTGTTGGTTCATCGTGCTCAGGGTCTTTTCTTTGACAAACTATATTGTTCATGTATCTTCAGACACATTAGGGAGCTAAATAACTATCCAGTATCTCCCACACATTGGAGGTTTGCTCTCTTTCTGAAAATACCTGATCCAAGGAGCACAGTTTCCCTATCCCAGAAATCTACTTGGCTGGTAGCAGTTGTAAGTTGATGTGGTTTGGGATCGTACCCTCCCTTTATTTGCATAAAACAGACTTTAACAGGGTTTAAGAGACTATACCCCTGTATTTATGTGAAATCTGGGAGTAACTAAGAAAGGTTTTGACTTGATGGCATTGGAGTGCTGTCTCACTGACAGCAAGCAGTGTTACCTCTTCGGGGAACTGAAGAATCAGACACACTCCGGGATCTTACAGAAGCTGGAGATCTCAGGCTCTGTGCTGCTGTGCCTGGTGACATGGTGCTCCCTGTCATGTGCTCACTGAACACATTAGGAGACTGAGGCATGTGGGTGAAGGAGGCTGACTGGCTGGGCTGCTCCCAGGTCCTGCAATATGCTTTTCTGGATGATTCAGGGGACAGATGCTGGCTAACCCCTTCAATGGAATCAGGTGTCCCTGGGCCAGAAGCTAATAATAGGAATGAAAACAAAATTAACCGAACTTTATCACCATGATAAAAACTAATAAATCCTATTATTTCTTCACATTATGGACTTTCTACTTCCTGTTTGACAACTGTAGAGCAGTTCACAGTTTTCAGAATCACAGAGAAGACTGTCTGATTCTTGAAGAAACTCCAGGACAACAGCATTTTATTCCCAATTTACAGATACAGACCTAAACCAGTTCCTACTATTTTCTGATGCAATATACCACTCTACAGCAATCTCTAAATCAGGAGAAAAAGGCCAACCAAGATGGTGGCATTTCCCTAATGTGATTTACTTGGATGGCTATTTCTGTATTTCACAAGATGATAGAATCATCAAAAAATAAAAGCTGAACAATGTCCAAGTAAAGGCTTTTTGCCTATTTGGCTCTGTAATGACATACTCAGTGCTACTGCTTGAATATCATCATGTCAGCACAGGAAAACACACATCTGTTATGTTTATAAATAAATTGCATGGTACAACTTAAAAACAGGACTAAGTTTGTTATCAAATGCTGTTATTATTGTAAACTTGAAAGCAATAGTATAATTATAACTATACAACAAGCTTACTTGGCAAATTTATAGTTTGGTCTCCAAGAAAAAGGCGTCTTGCTATACTCCTCCTGTACCAGGCTCTCGGAAAGGCCAGAATTTCACTGAGTCGGCGCATATCGTATTTGAAAGAGGCAGATCCTATATCACAAACAGCTGATACATACATAAAATGTATTAGAAGTAGTTTGTTCTTAGATTCATACACAATTTACCTAATTTCCAAACTCCTTAATGTTTCCATATGATAGGTAGTTATATGACATCACACAACTGAATTATAATTCATGGATTATAAAAACATGTAGTTTGCTCTATTAGTAATAGTTTCCCTTTCACACATTTAAAAACAGTATATCCTGTTGGTCCCATTTCCATTTTGATGTGAGGGAGGACTCTTTGGGATCCTGTTCCCACCTTTCCTTGCAGTTGTCATAGGTTTCAATAAAGTGTCTCAGATGTAGCGAATGGGCCATCAGGATGAGATGGGATGCAAACCAACTAGCTGCGTGACAAAAACTACCACTCACCAGACTTGTGAGACCAACAAGATTCAATGCCACCGCCCGGGCTCTTGGCTGAGTGCTTGTTGCGCCCTGCCCACCAATCTGTGGGACTTGTATGCCTATGTCTCCCACGAATAAGATTCTGTTTTTAGCCTGAACCTGTACCCACACAAGCCTATCAGTCTTGCCTTAATTCTGGGAAACAATTTAATAGAAAAATGAAATTAAATACCAGATATATTTATTAGTGTGGTGTCCATTTTGCTTGAAGACTTGCTTACAGACTGACTTTCAAAAAAGGAAGCACCGCCTGAACGTCTTATCCGAGACAAACTCACTTTTACGAACTCAAGATTTATACTGAGTGAGTCCTTACGACCAGTAACTGAAGTGGGTTCCTCATCCACATTGCCTTTAAAATACATACACATACACACTTAAAATATTTATACATGAGCCTCATAACAGCCTACTTACACAGGATCAGTCAATACACTTGGCTATGTCATCAGCTAGAACTATTTCAGGGGGATAAAATTTAAGAACATCAGTGTTTTCGTGATCATAAACATAATTTTTACAATCCTTAAAAAAACTAGAATTGGATATAGAGTATGTCTTTTCCTTATTTGTCAAATAATTCCTTTAGTGGTACAGCTACACTTTAAAATGCAAGTGAAATTTAATTTTATTAAACAGTGTGACATAAGTCCAGTTTTAAGTAAATAAAAATGATGCACACTAAAATTTTACTATCTATGCAACATTATTTTCTTACACTGAAATTTGGTAAGATAAATAATTAGCAAGTAATTTTTTTTTAAAGTGAAGCAAGTTTTTAATTGAGCAAAACTTGTTTAGAAGATGTGAGAGGAGAGAAAGAGGGGAAATGTATTTAATTTCCATGTTCAGGAGAACACTGGCTTCTCCAGCATGGAAATAGGCAAGCAAAGAAGCAGACAAGTGAGATATGTGTTCAAGGGAAAACATGGGCTTTGAAGAGCAAGCAAAAGTAACCTCTTATCCAAAGTAGTTATACCGAATCTCAAAATATTTCTTTATATAATTTAATCTACCTGAGTTACTAATTTCATAATACTTATTATACAAACTCAGGATGGAAGTGATCGAAAATTAAGTTTTTAAGTTTCTGATCTTGTTTTCCATTCATCATTAATGGCATCATGATTCCATTTGAAAAACAATACATGCAAAGTGTACCTAATCCTCCGGATCCAGTGGTAAGACCAGAAACAGCAGTTTTCTGTTTGCCAGCACCATAGGGGTGGAAGACATAGAGAGAGAAGTCAGACATACAGGCTGTGAAACTGAGCCCTGAGGAGCTGCTGCTGGCACTGGTCAGGTCCGACTGGCTGCTGCTATGCCGGCTTCGACCCAGGGGGCTGCCCAAGCCTGATGAGCCTGCAGGGAACACACAAGAGCCACATGAAGTAAAGAACCTGTCAACAGTAAAGAAGAAAGTAAAATGGAAACATTAAAACTTTAGTTGATCAGAGTGAGGTCTCAGGCTCTGCTTAGCACCTCTGGACACGTAAGACATTTTGCTAGACATTGCTGTGGACTCCTGCTCCTATTCTCTGCTCCACTAGTGGTATCCATGGATAGAGCAACAAAATAGTGGAGATACAGCAAAGGGCAGGAGACAAAACAATAGTTAGATCATGTAACAAGTCCACGTCTCAGTAGCAAACAGCAGAGACGGAATGAGGTACACACATGCAGAAAGGTAAAACCAGATGTCCAAGGAGACAACCCTAAGTGGATGTGCCGGTCCCAAATCTGCTTCAATGCTAAAAACAGGAGAATATCTGAATTTTGCAGATGGTTCCACAATTTTAGACCAGAACTCCTTTGGATTCATTTTGCAGCTGGTTATCTGGCCCACCTGGAGGGCATCATCACAAACATTTATGGCTTTCCATGTTGGAGTATGATCTTTGCCAGTCTGTATGTTTCCATGCTTCTTACCTCCAGTGAGTGGTTCTTCCTTGCAAATAGCGTAACCAGAAACCCAGGATTGATTTGTAAGCCATTCTATATCTAGATGCCAATCATGTCTGTTTGATGAAGCCTCCACGTGACTGATGTCCCAGACAAAACTAGGAGATGGCCACTTACCCTTTCCAATCTGCATCTGGATTGGTGTTCACCTTGTTCTAGTGATGATCACATTAGGTCCACTCCTCTGCCGTGGCTGGCCCACTCCATTAGCTCTTCCTCCCTGGTGAACTACTCTCATCTCAACTGACCCTTTGTTCACCAGACTCCTTTATACTTTATTATTTTGTTTTTCAAGTTGCTGGATTCCTGGGTCATGACCCAGCTAATTCATAGCTACTCCAGGTTCCCACTTAAAATATGCTGGTTTCTTCAGACTCAGTGAAAGCACCACATTAGCACACATTTTGTCAGCTAAGTCTCTATATTATATCCAGCCCAGAACAGGTCAAGACCTTGGTGTGGTATAGATTTTTTGTAAAGAATGATTACTGACAGCATCTGCTCTTTAACATTTATTCTCCCCACCACCCCCTCCTGAATGATACACGATTAAATATATGTGATCACTTGACTTCCCGTTAATCGTCGACTTGCTCGAGCGGGTGCCAGTAACGTCTCCATTTGTCCCTGTCGCGTGCTAGTGTAGCCCAATGGTGTCTGTTCACTCTAGGAACACAAAGAGCCTCAAACCGATCATTCATGATCTTGATGAAAAAGTCTGACCATCTGGTAGGTGGGCGGCCACGCGGTCTTTTGACATCCTGTGGAATCCAGTGGGTAACAGCTCTAGTCCAGTGGTCGTCTCTAAATCTCATTACGTGACCAGCCCATCTGATTTTTGATGCCTTGGCAAACGAAACAGTGTCCCTGATTCTTGATCGTCGATGGAGGTCAGAACTCCGGATTCTTTCTCTCATTTGAGTGAAACGTGATATTCCAAGCATAGCTCTTTCAATTCCTCTTTGGGAGACCCGAATAGCGTTCTCATCCTGTTAGGGATGACCTGCATAGGGCCCAGGTCTCTGAGGCGTATGTTAATGCAATATGTGATCAAATGATACATAACAAAATAGCAAAAAAATGCTATTTTGTGGGTTTTTAAAAGAATCATTGAACTTTAATATAATGAAGAGTGACTATATGATCAGGAAATAACTAGTTCTGGAATTTTTGCTTATTTTGGGGGGCCATACCCGGCAGTGATGGGGGCTCCTCTTGGCTCTGTGCTCCGGGGTTGCTCCCAAGGGTGCTTGGAGACCCTGCAGTACCAGGGATCAAGCCTGGGCCTACAGCATGCAAAGCATGTACTCACCATATGACATATGAGCTCTCTTTCTGGCCCTGATCAGTTATGTTCTAAGAACAAAGATTTTTTTTTTTTTTTTATGAAATCGACATTTGAGTTAGTCAACAAAATTGACCATTAAAAATAGATGCTGGATTTTTCACACTTTGATTGTGGCAATACTGTCTCTTATTTTCCATTTGCAGCACTTACCTCTCAAATTTAGAATATAGTACATAATGAAATGGCAGTTCCTGAACACTATTCTTGTATGGCAGTCACTTTCTCAGACTGGAAGTGGATCAAAGCTTTCATCTTCTACAGCCTTTTTTTTTTTCCCCCCCTTTATTTTATTTTATTTTTTTTTACAGTTGTAGATTTACAATTTTTTGTGCTTTGGTTTCAATTATACAATGATCAGATACCCATCCCTCCACCAGTGCCCATTTTCCACCACCATGGATAATATCCCTCCCACCCCCATTCCCCCATCCCCCCGTCTCTGTGGCAGGGCAATCCCCTGTGTTCTCTCTCTCCTTTTGGGTGTTGTGGTCTGCAAAAGAGGCATTGAGTGGCAAACATGTTCAGTCCATAGTCTACTTTCGACATGCATCTCCCCTCCTGGGAGGATCCTCCAAACATCCTTTATTTGGTGCTCCCTTCTCTATCTGAACTGCCCTTTCCTCTAGGATACCCGGCTGGCCTCTAAGTTATGGAGTAATCCTCCTGGTGCTGATCTCAGCTATTCTTGGGTATTAATCTCATACTTTGTTACTTTATATCCCCCAGATGAATGCAATCTTTCTATGCCTATCCCTCTCTTTCTGACTCATTTCGCTTAGCATGATACTTTCCATATTGTACCACTTGTATGTAAATTTCATGACTTCATCTTTTCTAACAGCTACATAGTACTCCATTGTGTAGATGTACCAAAGTTTCTTTAACCAGTCATCTGTTCGTGGGCATTCAGGTTTCTTCCAGTTTCTGGCTATTGTAAAGAGTGTTCTACAGCCTTTCTAATCCTCAAATGCTTTTTCATATTTATTTAAAGTACAGATTCATGAGCAGCATTATTCTGGGAGTGGGGACAGCCCCTACCTGGCATCCCAGGTTTCCCAGCACAGCTCTTGGCCACACTCTGAGCACCTCCGCCTCCAGGGGATGAAGTCTCAGAGGGACATGTGGTGCCCAGAGTCTCCAGTTCTCCTCGGTTTGAAGAAAAAACCAGGTCCAGGGATGGCAACTTTAGCATACATTCCACTCTAGAGACAGGTAAACAGCTAAACTTGATCTGTGAGGGCTGAGAAGCACAAGAACAGGTGCACTGTATATTAATAAAATGGTATATTTTAAAATCTGTTTGAGGAGCTGAATGATACGTACCCACTTACATAACTTAGAACGTTAAAAATATGTGTAGTTTACATTCTACTCAAATCATTTTTTTGCTTTCTTTTGGAGGGGGTGGGTGACACCCAGCGATGCTCAGTGGTTGCTCCTGGCTCTGCACTCAGGAACTACCCCAGGCAGTGCTCGGGAGACCATATGGGATGCTGGGAATTGAACTCAGGTCGCCTGTGTGCGAGGCAAATGCCCTACCCACTGTGCTATCGCTCCAGTTCCTCAAATCTTTTAAAATGATGTCTTCCAAAGTCTGAAAGGTAATGAAAACAAGTTCTATAAATCCACACACTCACCTACTGAATGTTTTTGTCAGATCTTTTTGGGGAGGGAAGTGTAACGGTGATGGTGGGGAACTCCCAGCTCTGTTTGAGCCTGCTCTGTTAGGGGCTGGGGACAAGCTGCAATTTTGTTTGTTTTTGGACCACACCGAGCAATGCGCAAAGCTTACTTCTGGTTCTGTGTTCAGGGATCACTGCTGGTAGGGCTTGGGGGACAACACGGGGTACTAGAAATTGAACCCAGGTCAGCCACATGCAAGGCAAGTGTATTCACATGCAAGGCAAGTATACTATCACTCTACCCCCGTTTTCATCAGATTTTTTTAAAAGATAGTATAAAAAAATCCAAAGATCAGAATACTAAATTGCCAAAATAGCCAAACTACTAATACAGAAAATGGTTTGGACAAATGAACCCTAGTGACTTTATTCTTGACAGTGGCTGAAAGATTTTAATTGAGAGTAAAGCAGATCTTAGAGTTCGGATACAAGTAGTTTTCAAATCCTCCTCCATAAGTGGATTCACTTCATAAATATTCTCAGATAAATATACTTAGGCTAGTGTTGGACTCCAATTTAGAATAAAATATTAAGAACTATGGAATGCTTAGGCCATTTTTTGAAAAGCATACAGTGCTATCGGGGTTTTAACATTTTAATTTTTGCTATCAATTCTAAGAACCCCAAAATGTATGTACTTGCTCAGCAGAAAAGTAGTTTTACAAACATCACACATTCAGGCAAACAAAGCTGTCACAGATAATCCAAGAATAAAGTTTTTAGGGAAATGATGCTGGGAAGTTTGAAACAAACAGGAGTAAGTAGGGTGTGTCACCTGCACTCGCACATAAACCACGACATCTACTGGAAAAGAGGAGTAAGCAGATGTAGAAGAGGACACTAAGGACGTTGTGGACTCCTCCATAGGGTCTGGCATCTCAAAATGCCCCACGTCGTCATCATGTGCGCTGATAGCTGTTAAGACATGCAGGTTCGGAGTCAAATTATGAGAGTTAGACTGTGACGTTCCCCCTCATGCTGCAGCTGCTGTGAGTAGCAGGTGGACATGCCGGGTCCCAGCCTCCTCCTTCTCTCACGTGTCTAAGTGCAATCCCCAGGCCCTGCCATTGTCGCCACCACCCCTTTCTCTTCTCAAAGAAGTCTGAGCACATCTCTGTCATCAGTGCGTGACTAGGGCTTCAGGGTCTTCCTCTGGCCTTCCTGGCATTTGATTTCTTAGAACAGTTTCTCACTCAGGTCTTTCTTGCACATTTATCACTAAATCGATATTCCAAGGCTGGAATGTCAATAATATGAATAGAGAGGCACTCACAAGCATAGTTTCTTTCAATAGGTGTGATTGGGATGGTCTCCAGAGCCTTTTCCAGGAAGTCTAACAGGCAGGGGCTGATGACCATCTCCTCAGGCAGTGACTGCAATGCCACCCAGGCATACAGCTTGGCAGTCTTCACTCCTATGCTGCCTTTCCCCTTGGCTGTGACAGTTACAAATGTGAATGAGTTTAAGAATGAGCCCACAGAACATACAATAATTCTGTGAGTGTTTACAACATGCAAGTTACCCTTCAAACCACGTGCGAAAGAAGGCAGTGATGGAAAGGGTGGAAATAAGTGATTCATGGAAGTTAGACAAAAAGATGGAAATCAGGGATGTTTTTCCTACTTGCTCTACGTCACAAATTTTGATTTATCAGTTTTTCAAGTTTATACTTAGCTGCTAAGTGTCAGGAGCATTGTTTTAGCATTAAGTCTCTTCTCCAGCATCAATCTGTCCACTGAAGAAGGAAGACACAAAACATGGACCCAGTATTTCGAGAAACATTGTTCTCATGCAGCTCTTTCTGGTATATATTTTTGATGCTTCCCACCAGACTACCATTTTAGCTTCAGCATGTCAGGTCTGAAGGATGAGGTCTGTAGCTAAAACCTGGTGAACTTTGGCTCCACTTTCCAAGTCTATTTTTAGTTTTCTAATCAAAGAATGAAATGTGGCTTCTATAAGTCTAAATGGTTCTCATTTATAAAGCGTTACTAAAATCTTCCCTGCACGTAATGACACAACTATGCCTGTTATTTGAAAAGTGGTATTAAAAACATGGTATTATTGGGATTACTGTTTTAGAGGACTCATACATAAGCTTCCATTTCCCAAAGGAATGGTTTTCAAATATTTCTCTACTTTTGTTTGTTTGTTTTGGCCTGTATCCAGCAGCAGTCAGGGCTTAGTTCTGGCTCTGGCTCAGGGTTCAGTTCTGGTGGTGCTTGGGGAAACATACGGGGTGTTGGGGATCGAATCATGGTCGGCTTTGTGCAAGACAAGAGCCTTACCCGCTGTACTATCTTTTTGGCCTTCAAATACTTCTCTTCAGTCTTCCCTACTTCATGTGGGGTAGTGGAGTGGTAGTCAAACTCTGAAGTACCCACCCTTCCTGAGTGGTATGAGCACATACGCCCAGTGTGGCATGCAGGTTGTGGGGCCCTAACTTCCAAGGCTGTTCACCATCTTAATCAGAGTAAAGGCCACCCTGTGGATGATGATACTGGGAGGAAAAGGACCAGACTGAATCACAGCCCAAGGTATCGGCCCACACTTGCACATAAGACTTTGCACAGAGAGTCGTTCACAAGTCTGTGTGCTATTTTCTCAAATGGAACCCTGAAAGTCACCATAGAGCAAGTAGGTGATGATAAGGTCAGATGATGAAGCCTATATTTCTGAATACCTGAGGAAGCAGATGGGGGCTGGGGAGGACGTAAGGAGTTAGTCTTGCTCTGGACAGTGCAGGGAGGAGGAGGAGGTGGAGCAATGCTGCCACTGTCTTTCATACCATACAGCTTGGACTCTTTAGAGAGAGTTCTGGGCAAGGAAGATCCTCGGGAAGCATTAGGTGATTCGGTCTTTAGAGTCTTGGAATTATAGTGCAACTGTATTGAAACAAAAGAACTTTCAAAATTAAAATTACACAGATGAGTAAAATCAAGAAGTGTAGAAAATGTGGTAGAAAGAGCACGGTCTAGAAGCCAAGGAGCAATTCTCATTTATAAGTCAGCTTTGTGATCCAAGCAGGCCTCTTGGCTTTCTTTTTAAATTACAACACTTGTTTCAGATAATACTCAACATCCTTTCTAATATAATGTTTCATGGTTCTGTACTTCTGGGATCTAGAAATTGCTACTTAATCAAGTTGTAGTAGGCAAGACTTAGAAAACTCATTATGAACATCAATATATAAAACCAAAACCTTATGGCAGGCTTTTGTGGAAAACACTAGCCTATGTTCAGAACAAAGCCTGGAGTCTCAGGAAACCTGGGGAAGGAGAAGCACAAGGGCAGGATGCAAAGGGGCTGGAAAGCGAGTCCCTGGCCTGCACAGTTGGGTACCTTGACGTCCACTCCAGGGATGTAGAACACTGTGGTCTCCACGTCACTAGACTTTGTCTGCAGAGAGGATGGCACTTTCTTGCCTGTCATTAAATGGGTAGTGGAAGCATAATTAGTTTGGAACTTCTTCTTTTTTGAAGGAGAATCTTGATCTAAACTCCTGGAACTTCTATCATAACTCCTACAAACAGAAAATATATTGTCTTTTAAAAAAATATATCAATAATGTGGTCTTATGTTATTGAATTCTTTGCCTTAAAAGCAATATCCAGCAAATAATTAGTTTACTAAGAAAACTTTGATAATAATTTAGCAATCTGTAATCCTTAAGAAAATAAAAGGCAATATAATGTCTTGTTCTAAAAAATATATATATATATATATCAAAAGAGAAGATGAGTAACAATAATCAATGACATCAAGTATAAAGTTGATACTCATTAGTATAATTTTTCTTATTGAAAATTTGGACCAATGTTACTTGGCATACACTGAACTATAACAGCCTCCTTATTTTGCCCAATAGGCATTGGAAATATTTAAAATCCTATATATTATCCCAAATTCAATTTTCTCAATTTTGGCTAAAGTCTCATTGTAAAGACAAGTGCAGTATAAATAGTTTATCATTCAAAGATATATATTCTTATGTGTTCATTTTTATTTGCTTTCTTTGAAACATAAAGTATGTTTCTCTTCACTGACCTCCATACTGACAATGATGAATCAGTATCTTGATTTTGTCTGCTCATGTATTGATTTAAAATATTTATATAGTTTAATGGTGCCATATCTCCATTTAATGTAGGTGTTTCTAAGGTATTTTAAAGTATGTTTCTTAATATATTCAAAGTATGGTTCTTCTCTAATGGCTAGCTTCTGTCTGAATTTGTACTATCTCTCCTTATTTTAACAATTAAAGATAGACTCAAGGGTACTATGAAAAAATGAAGGATTAAGGATATTAACTCTGTGTGTGTGTGTGTGTGTGTGTGTGTGTGTGTGTGTGTGTGTGTGTGTGTGTGTAGGTACTTATCTCTTTCTTCTTCATTTAAAACTGAAGTTCCATTTAACTGACCTGGGTTTAATCCCCGGCAACCCATATGGTCCCTGAGCCCCCACCAGCAGTGATCCTTGGGCACAGTGGCAGGAGTCAGCCCTGAGTGGCCCCCCAAAATAAAAAAATCATTAATTGGGAAAATAGATCAACAGATCATTAGATCCCATTCCTTATTATGGGAATTTTTAAACATAAAACATTCTGACTCCATTACCCCTAATGCTGCATATCATACCGCTCATACTGTAGGTATGCCCTGGAGGCCCCTGAGGACCACTGGGTTAAGTACTCCCCAAAATTGCTGGGTGTAGCCTCTACAATGAACAAACACACAGAATGGCATACTGAGTCCTCAGAGATCCAGCATCAGGTTCAACAATTGTCAGCATTCTAATTTCATGGACATTTCCACTCACCCAGTCACTGACTGATCTTCAATAATTCTTTCCATATTAGGTAGGGAAGAAAAGCAATCTCAAATAAATTAAGTAACACTAAGTTTGTTGATATAGATCTCCCTCAACTTATAACAGGATGGCATGACATCCACGAATACCTACCCCACAATGAAAGTATTCTAAGTGGATAAAGAAGCCCTACTCCACACCACATCCCAGCTGAGCCTTGCCAACCTTCAAACTGCTGAGCATGACCTTGGTCCCAGTTGGCAAACTGAGTCACACAAAGGCTGCTGGACACTCAGGTATTGAATGACTTCTGTCATGTATGGGCTGAGGGGTCAATCCCGAGGAGGCCAACTAAGAAATTCTGCCCTTTGTCACCCAGTCTCATGAGAGCAGGGGCTGGGATTGGCTGAAAAAATCTGGGTAAAGAGCCAGATTTTAAATTTAAGAATTGAATCCAATGAATACATATGGCTTTTTCACCTGCAAGAAACAGAAGAATCCCAACTCATGCTAAATAGCACCATTTATTTACTAAGAGTAAAGCTGTTTTATCTGGAACACATTCCACCCATCAAGGTCTCTCTCTCTACATGCTAACTGTTCCTAGTTTTTCATGAGTTCAACAGGTCTACATTAACCAAGATATCTCTGATATCACTGGTGTGTGTGTGTGTGTGTGTGTGTGTGTGTGTGTGTGTGAGAGAGAGAGAGAGAGAGAGAGAGAGAGAGAGATATCTTGGATCACACCTGATGATGCTTAGGGCCAACTTCTGCTTCTGCATTCAGGATCAGACCTACTGGGGCTCAGGGGACAAGATTGAACCCAGATTGGCCACTATGCTCACAATACTATCTCTCCAACCTCCGTTCTTGGTTGTTTAAAGGGGAATTCCAAAGACAGAATTATTCTAATAGGCAAGTTTGCTAGAATCCAAATCAGCGTTTTTCTAGCTGGCAGCACCTGTGATGCACTTGTTTAAAGAAATATAACCACCCCCCATTACATCACATTCTGAGACTAGGAAGTGTGGTGGCTTGGAGTTCAGTGATGCATGGAAGTGTCTGAAGAGCTGACAAACATGACCCCAGTATCTCACCTTCTCAAGCTCATGTCATCGTGCTCCTGTAGCAGGGTGGTGGGGTGGAGCACACATTTTCCACTATCAATCTCAACCCGTATGTCAAGCTCAAAATCAATATTTCTCTCAGTAGCTGTGCCACTAAGGCTGCGGTTGGCTGGGGCTGTCGGCCAGCGATCTGTGAAGAGCTGCTGCACAGCAGCAAGGCCAGTTGCTTTTTTACGAGATGTATGCCTAGAGAAAAGACAACCAGCTATTACTACACTGTAGAAAGGTGGGGAAACTTTCAATATTTTGTAAGATGGCATCTCAAAGCGACCTGCAAATAAATTTTACTGTTTGATGAATGCACACCAATTGCTCAACTAGCTCATGTAAGTGAAGTTTAAATTCCTTGGTGTCTTATTTCATTCCACTATGAAGGAGTAGCCTCACCTGCTAGATAGTGTGTGATGCTCTAAACACAGGTACAACCTGCTGCATAAGAACACACATCCAGAGCAGGACAGAGACTCCATGGCCCTGAAGTACACAGTACACCAGTCTCCAGAATAATAAAATTTTAAAATAATGCCCTATGGAGCTCAATTACATCAATAAGTCATAGGCATGTCTCCTGGTGTCTGAACATTATGAGGTATTTCTAAAGACGTGCAAAGATTTTCACTCAATTCTGCATTCTGAAATATTATCTAGGGATCTGAAAACAAGAAGGCTACTCACGAAGGTTTCCTGTAAATATAAAATCTCTCTCTCTCATGATCTTCATCCTTCTCCTCCTTCTCAGAGTCCTCACTAGTGGAAGACAGACTGTCATCACGTTGGCCCTCTTCGGCTTGGAAAGCAATGCTTGGTGGGAAGCCAGCTGGAGTTTTGGGAGAACTGAATACAGAGCATGCTCCTTCGCTGTTTGAGGAATAATGGGAGGGACCTTCGATGGTCACTGACAATAGGTCCAGTTCTGTCTCCTCTGGAAACTGACAGTGGAAAGAGAAAACACCAATCAGATTCCTAGTGCACAACTCTTCAGTTAGGAAGAAAATGTACACTTGAATATTAAATTCTGTCAGAGCTAGATTTCTTTACTCTGAACAGAGGAAGCAGCAAGCAAGGAAGGAAGCAAGTCAAACCACAGAAAGGCATATGGACAGTGAAATGAGAGTGAAGTTCCACTTCCTGTTTGCAAGTACCTATTAGCAAATACTGCAGATCTTTCAGCAGGAGTTAGAGGACATATGATCAGCTGAAGGGCAAAGAGCAATAGACTCCTTAATACTTCCTGTACCTCAGGCTTTGAGCCCTTAACAGGCTAAAGAAAGATGCGCATGCAACTAACTGCTTCAGTCAAACCTAAGAATGTACTAAGTTGGTATAAACAACAACAGGGTGCTACCAGGAAGCACCTACTTATCAAGTCGGTCAAACACAACTTCCACTGACCTAATTCTGACTTCCAGTTTAAGAGTTGCTTGAATATCCTTTACAAATGTGACAAGCCTTTATAAGGTGTAATGTGCAAGATAACGCAATTTATCGATGTAACTGTCAGATACACAGGAAATTCTGTAGAAAAATGTCTAGTATTTCCAAATGTTTTTTTGGGAGGCCACAGAGAGAGCATAGCAGGCCAGGCACCTGCTTTACATGCAGTTAACCCAGGTTTGATCCTGAGCCACCCAAATAGTTATTTCATATAGTTAATCCCTGAGTCTAGCCAGGACTTATTCCTGAGCACAGATGCAGGATTAAGTCCTGGGCACAGCTGGGTGTAGCAATTTAAAAAAAAAAAGGTGGGGAGGGGCTTGGAAGAAAATATCACGGTTTTTATTTCATACTTAAGCATGACTCAATCTGTATTTTTAAATTTTATTTTTATATGCTATTTAAAAAATTTTAATATTTTTTTTGGTGAGTACACCCAGGGATATTCAGGGGTTATACACTCAGGAATCATTCCTGGCAGTGCTGGGGAACCATATGGGATGCTAAGGATCATGTCCAGGTGGGCCTCACAAAAGGAAAGCACCCTATCTCTCTGACCCCCTTTTACATGCTATTTTTCATCAATAATGCATAAGAATCATTTTGAAATATATAAATACTGAATCAAAGTTGTATATCTGAAAGTTATATAATGTTATACATTAATTACATCTCAGTGAATGAACACTGGATACAGTGGGAAGGGGAAGAATCAATTAATTTTAAAAAATGGACCCAGTTAACTGCATAGTGCTCCAAGTTGTGCTTCTCAAAAATAAAAAAAAAAAACGGTTGTGTGGGTGAAGAAGAGAGTTCAGTGAGCAAGAGTGCATGCCAGGGGTCCAACTTTGATCCCTAGCATTGCATGCCCTCCTCTGCCCCACGAACAACCTCTGGATTTTCTCTGGTGACCTCCACACCAGTGATGGAGGCAATGACATATTACTGGGTCCTAACACCAAATTGCCAGGCCCAAACTGCTGCCTGAGAATTATTAGGAGCGGATCCTAAGCACTGCTTGGAAGGTCACAAAAAAAAAAAAAAGCTATCAACCACATATAAAACAATCTAATCATCCTAAAAGTTCAATTTTACTAAATTCAATTATGGAATATCTCAGGAGTCTCTTAAGAGTGGGGGATGGGAAATAAAATAAAATACATCAGGAATACATGTCAATATTTATGTCATATGATGAAAAATTTCTAGACAAAGACTTAAGTACACTGTATAATATACATTTTTAAACATTCTATTTTCCTTTTACAAAACAAATTTATATTTAGAAGAAATGTGTGGATCCTTAAAGATACTGATTCAACCTATAGCCATTGGACAGCACATTTTCAGTATTTTGAAGACAAGAATAATCTATTCTATTCTATTCTATTCTATTCTATTTATTTGCTTTTGGGGTCATATCCGGCGATGCTCAGGGGATACTCCTGGCTCTGCACTTAGGAATTACTCCTGGTGGTGCTCAGGGGACCATATGGAATGCTGGGAATTGAACCCAGGTTGGCCGTGTGCAAGACAAACGCCCTACCTGTTGTGCTATCGCTCCAGCCCCAAGAATATTTTTTTTTCTTTTTGGGTCACACCCAGCGATGCACAGGAGTTACTCCTGGTTCATGCACTCAGGAATTACTCCTGGCGGTGCTTGGGGGACCATATGGGATGCTGGGAATCGAACCTAGGTCGGCTGTGTGTAAGGCAAATGCCCTACCCATTGTGCTATTTCTCCAGCCCCAAGAATATTTTAATGGAACACTTTCATACATATTTTTTATATCAGTGACTCACAAAAGATATTCAGCAAGTAAATCAGAATCAAACCTATGTGACAACAGTAAATTAAACTAGTTATTACTTTATTTTAGTTTCAGTTTTTGGGCCAGACCTTGGTGTGGTGTTCAGGGCTTATTCCTGGATCTGCTCAGGGGAACCACATAAGGATCCAGGGATTAAACCTGGGCTGACCATGGAAGCACCCTGTGCATTATAATATCTCTCTGGTCCCAAATCTTTTTTGCTTTTTTTTAAAAAAAAAGATTCCTTTTTGGGTTAGAGCGATAGTATAGCGGGTAAGGCACTTGGCTTGCATGCAGCTAACCCGGGTTCAATCCCCGGCATCTCATATGGTTCCCTTGAGTCTGCCAGGAGTGATTTCTCAGAAGTGCAGAGCCAGGAGTGAACCCTGAACATGACTGGGTATGGCCCAAAAACAAAAACAAAAAGATTAATTTTATAGTTAAATGTGGAGGAAATATTCAGGAGTTAACAACAAATAAATTAAGTTTGGTATGATTTGGCTGGGTTAATTTGGTAAGCTGAATTGCTCTCTTTAATTTTAGAGTGAAAAGCAAGTACAGAATGAAAATATATTCATGCAGGAGCTTATGAAATATGGATAATGGAAAATTAAAAAAGCTTATGCCTTTATCTAAATACTTTTGAGGGTCTGAATTCAGAATGAGAAGACATTGTAAAGCAGATTTTAGGGTGGTTAATTAGCTATAAAGTCAAACGTGTGATGTTCTCAAGTACCTGAAAATACCCTTCCCCAGGAGGGCTGGACTGTGGTGTACTTCCCCATACTGTTTTTTTCAACTTAATTAAAATAATAAGAAAAAAATTTTAACTCATGAAATTTTAAAAGAGACACAAACAATGGTTTAACAACAAAAAAACTGTACAAAAAGTAAAACAGACATTTTAACATGAACTTTAACATGTAATAAAATTAGAACACAATTTTGACGTTGACCTTTTGCTTCTGGTTTCTTTACTTTTCTAAATTTTGTATAAATACATGAAGTATAAATAGTCCACATTTATATTTTTATAAGAAAACTAATATAGAGTCATATTTGACAAAAAATATTTTCCAAGAAATATTTTTGCCCATGAATATGCAGTATGGACCCTTCATTATACCATCTGGATGCTTGTGAGGGACTCAGGGTCCCCAGGAGCCTATGACTTGGCAGACAATGTTCCATTCACACTGCCAATATCAGAAGGAGACATTGTTCCATTCACAACGCCAATGTCAGAAGGAATCAGTATTTCTTGATTCCTATGACTACTCTACTTCTGAAACAAACAGAGTCTGTAACAATCTCTTACTGTGTCCTGGATATTGAAAGTTACTCTGGGTCCAGGAGATGCTGCATCCACACGAATTTCTGGGAGATCCTCAGTTTCTCCTACACGAGAACTTTAAGTAAAATATAAAATTAAAAGACATTAATATTCTCATTAAATAATTTTCTAGACTTGATAAAAGCCTGATTAATGACATTAATAATATATTTCTAAATATTTACCTTAGTTAACTGTTGGTAATCCATTTCTTAACCATTGCCATCTCACAAAAAAATTATGCTTTGTTTAATACAAGACCTTGTTGAACATAAAATGAAGAATTTATATATATATATATATATATATATATATATATAATACATATTTTGGTCCAGTTTCAGAGACAGTTGGCCTGCCTGCATGGCTTGAAGCTTCAATCGTCTGGCTGGGCAGTGCTAAGGGTCACCAGGTTATATCCAGTGATGCCAGGGGAACAAATGATAACAGGGAACAAGGTGTACCTGGGCTGAACTCAGGGCATCTGCATACAAGACCTAACAACAGCCCTTTGCTCTACCTCCTGGCTTCCAAGAATTTCTATTTCTCATTATAGTCTTACTTTATACTTCTCATTTATTAGTTAAAAAAGTATTTTCTTCAATAATGTATAAATTTTCCATATGCTAAATACATTTTATTACACCTAGTTTTCTAAAATGGCAAACCTATAGCATCGGCTACTACAGCACATGCACATTTTCATTTCTGTGGGTCATCTGTAAGTTTTCACATAAGCCTGTATAAGTAGGCAACACATTGTGTTTTGACAAAGCCAATGAGAGTTGTGGCATTACAGTGATAGGTCTTTAGAGACTCAGTTTTACTATACTCTTCAAAGCCCCCAGGTAGAGCATTGTTCCTCTGTAGGTCCCTGGTGAAGAAGAATCACAGCTCCTTCCCTTGGCTGGGCTATACTTACCTTCCCCTTTCCACGCGTTTTGGCAGTGGCCTTCCAGAAGCAGAGATGCTTTTTGACCGGCTGTAACTCGGCTTGTAGCTCAGACCCCACTTATCCTTTAGAGATGCAGCCTAATGAAGGGGGGGGGGGGGGAAGCAGAAACTCATGATTGTGACACTCAGGAATCTGTCCCATCATGTCAGTAAAAAGTCCTTAGTTCTACATAAGACAGAGGCATCAGAGGACTAAGCTCTGAGGAGACTGGACAATGAAAATGAGAAACAAATCTGAGTGGGAGCTAAGTGAAAAAATAAACAAAAAAACCCAGAAATAGGTGAGAAGAAAGGAAACAACTGGAAAGAAAAAAATGAGGCTTGGGAGGGTGTGGGAAAAAGGCAAGTGGGAGAAGAGGACAAGTGTATTCCCAGTTCCCCATGCCCCATCTTCTTTCCTGGCACAGAGCGAGGCAGTGTCCCCAAAACTCTCCTGCCTCCACATCTCTTCTCTAAATGTGTTGTTAGACACAGAAACGGAACCCCCAAGTCAACCACGCTGGGCAGAAAGATGCCAAGTGGAGACAATGGTGAGATCGCAAAGGTCATGCTAGTAAGTACACAGATCCTCTCTACATGTAAAGCAGCATGTTTAATACCAAGTACAAGCTACCTTAGAGGCCATATTTGTGAAGTGTTCCATATATTTTACAGAAATATCTATCTTCTAATATATATGACTTAAAGATACACAGCAAGGTAGCAACAAAGGTGCACAGGCAACATAATGGGGGAAGTGATCCACACAATTGAGATGGGGAGTGAGTAGAGGGCGGGGCATTGGGATCCACGGGGGAGGTGGGTAACACTGGTGATGGGTGTGGTGATAGAATTATGTTCATGAGGAACCATTATTAATAATATTGTAAACCACAAAATCAATGAAAAATATATTTTTTAAAGTTTTATTAAAAAGTTTTTTTTTTTTAAAAAGTATTAAAAAGCCTGAAACAGAAGAGTGTTCAAATTAGGTTATCTGGAGGTTCAGAAGGGATCACAGAAAGAATGTTTAAGAAACAAACCTGGATACCTGCAACATTCCTCCTCTTCCTCCTGATTTAACCTATTCTTAAAAAATGTAGTTGGGTGCTGTCTTAACCCAACCCTGACTAAAAATTGAGTATTTTTTTTAAAGTTAAGGACATCTTTATTTTTCAGTAAGTTTTTTCCATGTAAGATCATGCTGAACAAAAAGAGATTTACCTCCATCTGAATAAGCTTTAGCATTATTTTCTACTGAATGCTTAGGATCTCAATGTTCATAATGTATCTATGTGTGTGTTTATTTAGATTGTTCATCAGCTGTACTAGATCCCAGTAGGTAGGTAGGTAATGTGGGGTCCAAGATAAAACAACTTCCTCCTTAACAAACCCAAGCTGGAGTAAGAAAATGAGTCTACAAATTGTGAAGGTACAGGTAAGTTCAGAGAGTACACAATGGGCAGGAGGTAAAGGGATGAATGGGATAAGAAAAAGATAGCAAAAGATTTCACATCTGAGCAGAGACTAGAAAAAGAAGGTGCCCTCAGGAAAGGCAGGCACCTGGTCACAAAGAGCACAGATTAGACCCTCACAGACTGGGTTCAGATCACTGGCTCCTCTGGGTCACTATCAACAGAACTTTGGTCCAATTATTATTATTATTATTATTATTATTATTATTATTATTATTATTATTTTTGCTTTTTGGGTCACGCCCGACGATGCACAGGGGTTATTCCTGGCTCATGCACTCGCACACAGGAATTACTCCTGGTGATGCTCGGGGGACCATATGGGATGCTGGGAATTGAACCCGGGTCGGCTGCGTGCAAGGCAAACACCCTACCCACTGTACTATCGCTCCAGCCCCTGCTCCAATTCTTTAGCCTCCTCATGATAGATTTCCCATTGCTAAAAGTGGTAGAAATAACGTATGCTACCTCATCAGCCACTTGTAAGCACTGCACAGTGCAAGTGTCTAATATGTTTCCTGATACACAGTTGACATAGTGTATTGTCACTGTCACTGTCCTCCCGTTGTTCATCGATTTGCTAGAGCGGGCCCATTAACGTCTCCATTGTGACACCTGTTACTGTGTTTGGCATATCAAATACGTCACAGGTAGCTTGCCAGACTTTGCTGTGCGGGTGAGATACTCTCGGTAGCTTGTGGGGCTCTCCAAGAGGGGTGGAGAAATCGAACCTGGGTCGGCTGCGCCCTGCCAGACTATTGCTCCATCTCTTTGTTTTCTGTTTTGGGGTTTGGTTTATTTTAGTTTAGTTTTTGGTTTCAGGCATGAACCTGGTGCCTCCTACATGGGAACTCAGGCTGTTCCCTCAGCTCTGTGCAATCCCTCTGTGTAGGTTTAAGCACAAAGTCCAAGGGCCTGAGTATTGTCATTATCAATAAAAAACTGAGGGGCTGGAGCGATAGCACAGCTGGTAGGGCGTTTGCCTTGCACGCGGCAAACCCAGGTTTGATTCCCAGCATCCTATATGGTCCCCTGAGCATTGCCAAGGGTAATTCCTGAGTGCAGAGCCAGCAGTAACCCCTGTGCATCTCCAGGTGTGACCCAAAAAGAAAAAACAACAACAACATCAAAAACTGAACAAACTTAAGTATCAGAGATAAATTTTCATAAATTAAAAACAGAGCGGTGCACAGGTCCAATAAATCTTCCTACTGCTCACTCACTCGCATGCTGGACCTTCGTAATTTTTTGCGAACATCTCTTCGAATGTCATTCACAGCAACAGACTCCAACTGCTGGTAACGCTGAATTTCCTGGTTTATTGTTCCTTCACTTGCACCTAATTTTCTGGATATAAAACAAGTATGGTAAGTAGTGTAAAGAAGTAACAGAATGAGATGGATATTTACATAATTTTTCAGTCCTTTCACTTGCCTGAATATCAAAGATTACATCTGTGCAGGCCTAAACCTTTATGCTGTTGGAACACTCCTATCCAACTGTAACCCTCTGGGTTGGTTCTTATTCATTTCTCAATCCAGAATCTCTCTGGCAACCTCATGATCCCTATGGAGCCCTTTACAGAAAATAGCCTGCATGGAAAATTCTTGAAGGTATTTCAGTCCATGGACTGAAGTTTCAGGTAAGGCTTTAGGGGAAAAATCTATTTTGCTCTAAAGTCAGCTTTTCCTGAGAACAAAACTCAACATATAGTATGAGTTAACAGGAAAAAGTGAATTACATTTTCAATATACATAATTACAATGTGTATTGTAATGAATCTATAGATGCATTTAAGCCATACCTGTCATCAAAGTGTGTGTGTGTGTGTGTGTGTGTGTGTGTGTGTGTGTAAATGCTTGAAGGCAAAAGAAAACAAATGCAGGCATATGATTATTAGAAAATACATGGCATGACTGTCACCTCTGGGGAGAACAGAAAAAAGTCTAGCATGACTCATTTTATAAGGAAGTAGTATTACTTCTAGTTAGCTGTTAACTGATAATAAAAAAGGTTACACTTAACACCTACTCCCTTTCCTCACCCAAGTTCTAGACAACTGCTCATAAAGGCAGGCAAAAAGACATAAGTTTGGATCCAGGTGTAGGTGTATTCAAATTCCAATTTTTGGAACCTTCTCAGTTAGGCTTCTGATCTGTATGGTTAGCATCAAGAAAGAGGCTAGGTTCACAGCAGGCACTTGGGAAGTGCTGTTTCCTCCCTCAAAAATCTACATGACAGAAATAATGACGTTCCCAAGATATGTATGTGTATCTAGCATGAAGAGATGGCTTAGGTGATGCAGCCACAGATAACTCACAAGTGGCAGCTGTGAAAAGCACTAGACAATGACTTGATTATGATGCATATATGACCCAGGCAAATATAGGAGCATGGTGATCTCATTTATAAACTAAAGAGGTTCTACAGGCCCAAATTCGGTTTCCTCCACAATTAAAATGCCAAGTCTATTAGTAGGAAAGAATATATTACAACTGAAAAGCATGCTACATACTTAAGATCATCTATGACTTTGGCCTGTTCATTCAGTTCTCTGATATCCACTATCCGCTTCATAATTTTTCTTCCTCTAAGTTCTCCTTGCTGGTTACAAGATGCTCCTTGTCTTCGATAATCAACAGCTTCCTGAAAAATCAAAGGCATGTTTCTCAGCCCCATCTTCAGGCCACAGAGCAAATCTATACTACAATAGTAGTACCCTTCCAATCAAAAGAAGCATGCAGAAATCAGAGTCATCTCCACCAAGAAAGTGATCGGACTTCACCAGTGATTCAAATCCCTTCATTTTCACGAGGAACCAGTTGCTACCTACGTTTCCCCATGAGTGAGCTCTGCATGCTTTCAAATGGGACTGGGTACCCTGAGGGGAGCCCCACATTTCTGGGTCACACAGATACTCTGCAGGAACAGAATAGCGCTGATGTGGGGGCGTCAGGCCTAGGAGGTGATTGACAAGTCGCTGCCCAAAGGTGAGCTTGTGGCCATCTCCACTTACTGAACTTCCTTCTGAACTCTAAATGATAAACATGAACATTAATGGTTTAAAAATGTCTAAGAACAAAACTATTACATAGTACAATAAAGATGAACAATTTTTAAAACAGAAATACTAGAATGAAAGCAAGGGTTAACTTTCTTTTTAACTACCTTGATTCTATAGAACGTACAATATAGATGAAGATACCAATTTTTAAAACATAGATACGTAATTTTATGTGCATGAGCTTTGTCTTTGAGCTTCATTTTTGTTTGCTGGGTTGCCTACACACTGGTATGCTCGGGCTTACTCCTGGATGTGCATCCAGGGATCATTCCTGGCAGCTCAGGGAACCATGTGAAGTTCTAGGGGTTGAACCTGGGTTGGCTGTGTGCAAGGTAAACACCTGACTGCTGTACCATCACTCCAGCCTCTTGAGCTTCATTTTTAAATCTGTCATTGAGGTATCATTCACAGTCCCTGAAAGTTACCATGCATGATCGACCAGTAGACCTCATAGATGTCCCCAGCAACATCACATGTAAGAGTACCTCCATGGCCCACTCTCCTAAGAAACCCGAAACTCAGCAGCCTGCCCCTCCTGCCACCACCCTATATCAGCACTGTCTGCAGATCTACACCCCTGCTCAGACTGCTGGGACTCTCCCTGCAGGGAAGGCTCCCTTTGGCTGCCAGGCACCATAATTCCCACAACTCAGAGCCACTATCAAGAAATGCAGACAAAGGAAACCTACTGTCACCCTCCTTCGTGGTCCAAATATAGAATCACCCTCAGTGGTAAAGGGTCTGGCTCAGGTACGAGGCTGTCTGAGGGGCTCACTCACAGTGTGGACGGTGGGAGACATGGTATCCACTTCATCTTCATCAGACAGGTCGGCAATGTTCACTGAGTTGAGGTCTGCAATGTCATCCACATCCTCTTCTCCAGTCAGCGTTGTGAGGGTGTGGCCCAGAGCATTGAGCCTTTTTCCAATGTTGGGGTCCATGTGGACGTCAATCCCACACATTTTCCACAACACATTCAAAGTCCAGGTTCCAGCACTGCTGCTTTCTGTTTGGACAAAGAAGCGGTGCTCGGGAAGTACCAGTACAGAGATGGAGAATGAAATGGCAGGATCCTCCACTTCAGGGAACTCTGGGTTCCTGCCTCCCTCCCAGGACCCCCTTCTCCCTGTGCCACCCTAAGAACTCTTCCCCAGCTGAGATCAATGAGGTGAATGGTGTGGGAGCAGGTCAGTAAGCAGCCTTTCCCTGGGTTAAGAATCTGCTGGCCCTCTATTGACTGAGAAGCCCTGAGGGTGAAGGCAGGAGAGGGGACATGGTAGCTGCAGTACTTGCTGGGGCCTCTTTCTCTTGCCTCACTGGACCCTGCAGATTCCTCCTGCTGAGTGCCCTGGGCTCCAAGGAGTGAGCTGCAGTGTCTCACATGCAGCGGTCAACACAGCCTGTTTCATTCCCGAGTTTGCCTCCATCCCTGCTCTTCTTCCAGCAAGACTGTGGGCTCTCCCTGACCTGGATGCTCCACTGTGGACAGTGGGCCTTCAGATTTCTGAGACAGCGTATCTCAGGGAGGAGGGGGGCTGAGAGGGGAAATGTGTGTCAAGCTGGGTCTTAATCTTTTCAACAATATGAAGGGTTCCTGGCATCTTCTTGGAGCAGACTCTATCAAGCCCTTCCCTTGAGCTCCTGCTGCTCTCTCTCAGGACCATCTTGTTTCCCCAATAATTACCTAGGACTAAGAAAGGGCCAGAATTGGCTTCCTTCTGAAACGAATCATTACCTTCCCCCCTGCCCACCCAACCCAGCACACACTTCTTGATTTTAGGGTTCTAGATTCACACAATTCTGCAATCACACAGACAAGTCTGACAAGACACCGTGCTTGCTGAGCCAACGCTCCTGCATCTTCTGACTCAGCAAGATCGCCCATCGCCCAGTTTTGGCTTAAGAATTTTATTGATCCTTTAAGTACCCATTCAAATGCTGCTTCTTCAAAGTTTTTCCTAATAGTTGCATATTTTAAATTTTACAGTTTTTCTTTCCCTCTGGTAAATTTTAATAGCAATTTCAGCTTTTTAGTTTATTGTACTTACCACTCACTACAGCTTAATTATCTTTTGAGTATTGACTACATTACTAGAAGTTAAATATATTGAGTAAAGATATATCTTATTTATATCTTACCTTTCCTAAAACTTATTACAGTGTATCTAATATGATCAATAACTGCTGAACAGTTTCTAAACGTTAGTGGTTAGCAGAATGGTTTAGTTAAAAGATCATTTCACCATGGGGCTGAAAGGGGTGCTACTTGACACCTGGGGCCACTTACCAGCTGCTGCCTGTCCTGTGGTCCTGGAGCACACTTCATAGGTGCCATCTGGAACTACACCTGCACAGAAGCACCCAAAACAGCTTTCAGTAAAAAAGTGTGCCTGACCACTAGTATGACAATTTAAGTCATTACTGAGTCTAAGAAGATCTGGCCTGTAGGTGCAGCTTCTGATCTGCACGATGAGGGTGGCCCTGTGCAACAGTGACAGCTACTTCACACAACAGGCATTTTATGCCACAATTTTAGGAGCTTAGTTTCAGTTTCACCTTTCTAGTCTGTATGAAGATTACCTCTCCAAGCAGCAATACCTGGCCACCTGGCCAACCCTGACACTCTAGTTTATACCATCAGAGTGAGGATGCTTTGAAAATGAAAATGCCTTAACATGGACTTTTGATAATGAAGAACTGCAACATGAGGCCTTGTTTTTTTCCTGCGTGGATGAACAGCTGATGAAGAAACATGTTTGCAGTCACATCAGACTTCAGGTCCATGGGCCTGGTCCCAGAATGCATCTCATTAACAGAAAACACCAACTGCTCTTCAATGACAACTTCCCCTCCATAAAAAAGTAGTTTGACTTTGAAAGAGCAAAGGAGACACCGTCCTTGAAACAACTGTTAAAGTAAACTCTATATCTCTTAAGGAGAAAATCAAGTTACCATCTAAATATGATCATACAAATGTCATAAAGGAAATATTCTTCTGCAATTCACCCTGAACTCAAAATTAGTATTCAACAGTAACTCAAACCTGAACTGTACAAATATTATACTTATTGGGGAGAAAAGGTCTATTTGCAATAAACTGAAAAGTTTTTTTAAGAGATTAATAGTACTCTGAAGACTCTAAATTACATTTCTGAGCCTGATGTATCTGTGCCTTATACAGAATTATATAATTCAATCTTATTTTGCATAAAAGACTGCACACATAACCTAAAGATCATGTTTATAAATCAGAGCAAAACAATCCTATGCTGGGATGAAGAAAAAAAACCTTAGAAATGTTAAGGAGCTTAATTGAGGTTACAGAAAATGAAGAAGCAGATGGTTGAAAACCTCTTAAGATTTTCAATTTAAAGAGTCAGAATTTGTAAAATTAAGCTTAAAAAGAAAAGATGATAGATTTCCCCATTTTGTGACAGGAGAGTGTTCTATTGGCTTAAATTGCATAAGTTATTAATTATAAACTTCACAGGAAAGGAAAGACACTCACAGGCATTCATTACCAAATCCCCACGAATTTCTGGTTTCCAATCATCCCATGATGTCTCAAAGCCATCAGCAAAACGGATGCAGAAGTTCTTGAAATGCCCTTTACTGACCAGAGACTCTGAAGAGCAAGCAGTGATGAGGGTGCTCTCAATGGTCAGCACTAATGCAGAGCCAGTGTCCAGGTCCCCAGTGTGGCTGCACTGCAGAGACAGGGGAATGCAAATGATAAAGGCAGCACCTGTTGAACACACAAATCAAGCTCTCTGGATCCCACCCCAATGAAAGACAAAAGGTTCCCCTCAAAACTTTAGTGTTGTAAGTGCCTCCAATACTCTAAGGCACATGAAGTGTGGCTTCATGGAAACGTCTTAGGAGATCTGCGCTGAATTCTGAATAAGTAGTGGGTAAAGTGGTTCAATCCTTGGTCTGACTCTGCTCTTCAACAGCAGTGTGGCTCTCTTCTGTGTATACAGAGCTAGCTGGTAGGAAGGTCTGGCTCTGACACTTGAAGCTACCTGTGCAGTGTTGGTGATGGGCAGGCAGATCCCCAGGTCATTCACTGTGAGCTGGAGAAAGAGAGTCCCAAATGCCTGGGCTGAGGTTTGCTGGATGCCAGGCAGCATGTCCACCACTTCCTTTGTAGCCATGTGAATATCCTTGTGTAAAGCCATTCGCTGTTCATTCCAGTTGTCATAGGCAGCTTTATAATTCAGCCAAAACAGCACAGCTTTTGATAAGGCAGGGAAGAAAGAAAAAAAATTAAAACTATAAAGTTATACAGCAAGTAAAGCTCAGTACCTTCGAAAGCCTACTGGTTTACACAAAGCATTTAGGGCCCACTGTAGCATTTATCATTACAATCTATACAGAGACCAGAAGACAGATGGCAAAGAAATATGAAAAGTTTATGCATAATGGAGAAGAAAAAATAAAATCTAGGTTCATCCTTTCATAAGAAAATATACGTGTGAAGTGTTTTCTGCCAGAAAACACCAGACACTAAGATTCACAAACAAAGCGAAGGGTAGTCCTCAATTAGCAGAGAGAACTCTTATTGTTAGACGTTTTTGAAGGAGATATACATATCCCCAGGAAGAGACATGAAAGAGAGGAGACTTAGAGACAGAGGTAAAAGTCCTATGAGTTTGTTAGAGAATAAAGTCTTAAAGAAAACCTTCCCATTTCATGGCAGTATGTAAATAAAGGTGGTGGGGCCAGATACAACACCCAAAGGAAAGAGAGAACAAAAGGGAATGCCCTGCCACAGAGGCGGGTGGTGGTGGTGGGGGGGTTGGGGTGGGAGTAGTGGGAGGGATATTGGGATCATTGGTGATGGAGAATGGGCACTGGCAGATAGATGGGTACTTGATCATTGTATAACTGAAACACAAGTACGAAAGTTTGTAAGTATGTAACTGTACCCCACGGTGATTGACTAATAAAAACATTGTCACTGTCACTGTCCTCCTGTTGTTCATTGATTTGCTCGAGCGGGCCCAGTAACGGCTCCATTGTGACACTTGTTACTGTGTTTGGCATATCGAATATGTCATGGGTAGCTTGCCAGGCTTTGCTGTGCGGGCGAGACACTCTCGGTAGCTTGCTGGACTCTCCAAGAAGGGTGGAGGAATCGAACCCGGGTCAACCAGGTTGGCCATGTACAAGGCAAACGCCCTACCCACTGTGCTATGGCGCCAGCCCATAAAAACATTAAGAAAAAAAAAAGAAAAAAGAAAAAAAATGGTGGTGGGGCCAGAGAAGGAGAAGCAAGTGCCACATGGTGAAATACAAGCTGCTGAAGCTGATGCAAGATTAGACATGAAACAAATGAAGGCTGGATTTAGCAAAGTAAATACTATTGATAATACTGCTGTGAAAAGGCAGTACTCTGAAAGACCTTACTGCTAGTTAATGCTTATTACCTTTATGTCTCACATGGTTTTTCATTGCCTCTAAAATGCCAATCCCACTGATTTCCCACAAACTTAGATTAGATCCATTCTAGTCTTCAGTGTCATTTCCCAGCATTTTCATATATGAGAATGGCTGCTCTAGTTTCCTAGAGCTCCATGACAAAGACATATGTATTTACTTGGACTCACTTTCACTCAGCACATACTTAGTTTTTACTCTACACAGTGTAGCTGCTCTAGACCATGAGTGAGAAAAGGACAATGAGAAAAACTCTCACATGCCTGTCTCCCTGATGAATCAGTCTCTCTTATGGAAGAGCGTCCATGCCAGACTCTGCAGATGCAGGGCACAGGGCTGCAGCTCCACCACCCACTACTCTCTCCCTCCTTGGCTGAACTAGAGGGCAGAGAACCCAGTTTCCCACACTTATATTCTACTTTCAGTGTTTTTGAAATAGTCTTTTAAGATAAAAAGTCTTTTAATTTTTCATAATTAAAAATTTGAGTCAGACTTTCCTTTATCTCCACGTTAAAGGCAAGTAACTACTTTTTTTAAAAAAAAAATAACCCATAAAATTGAAGGGAATAAAAAAGAAAAAAATTTGGATGCTTACGATAGCACAGCGGTAGGGCGTTCGCCTTACAAGCGGCCAACATGGCCGACCCGAGTTCGATTCCTCCACCCCTCTCGGAGAGCCTGGCAAGCTACCGAGAGTATCTAGCCCGCACGGCAGAGCCTGGCAAGCTACCCGTGATGTATTCGATATGCCAAACACAGTAACAACAAGTCTCATGATGGAGATGTTACTGGGCCAACTCGAGCAAATCGATGAACAAGGGGAGGACTGTGACTGTGACTGTGACATTTCAGATTTAGGAGGCATTTAGCTGCAATTACACTGTCAGACCACACTGACTTTTTTTGTCACTCAACCTTACCTCTATCAAAGGCCACAGGTTGTGCATAAACGATTGGTCTGTTCAAGGTAATAAGTACAGCTTCCCTGTCTGAAGAACCACTGATTTCTTCTCGGAGGGCATTTCTTAATCCAATTCTAGTTTTAAAATACGCAACTTGATGAAAATCAGAACCAGCTTCCTCATAAACCTAAAATAAAAAGCTCAATTAAATAAAATCATAGAAAACAATTTAACTTAAAAAAGTCTTAATTTCATACTATTCACTGAAAGAACTACTTATGCTTTACTAAATTTCATTTGTCAACGATATAGTTCTTATACTCTCTCACATATATTAAGAGCATTTGACATTACTATATGAGTGGAAATACAAGATGTCAAACATGAAAAGCTCACACAGGAATTACTCCTGGCTCTGCACTCAGAGGTCACTCCTGGCAGGTATAGAGGGACCATATGGGAGTCCAGAGATTGAACTTGGATTGGCCCTGTACAAGGCAAGGACCCTGCCCTGCAATGTATTCTTAAAGACAATGCTACCACATATTTGAAGACATAATGAGTCACTATCCTATCAAAATGTGTTTCCATTTAAAAAATTATTTGTCTTAATATAACAAGAGATTGTTTCATTTATTTTTTATTTATTTTTGTATGTGTTCCTTTACATAACCTCTAAAATAGCCATTCAGTTTTGAATGTGTAATTGAATTCTTTAAACTAGTTTTTTCAAAGAAAAAAATTAAGGTCTATGTTATAGAAAACAAAATTCCCTAGTGGGCTCTAAGGAAAGTTTCCTTTTATTAATTTGATTAGCTGATGTGTGTGTGTGTGTGTGTGTGTGTGTGTGTGTGTGTGTGAGATTGCATGACTTTGTTTTAGGGTCTTATTTTTGGTAGTGTCAAATTGAATGTGCATATGTATTTAACTTTTCTAAATGTACCAATATTAAGCAGGGTGACTATAACTGAATGGCCAGAGTGACAGTACAGTGGATAGGGCCTGTACTTGCCTTACACGTGGGAAACCCAGTTCAATCCCAGCACCCCATATGGTGAGCCCCACCAGGAATGATCCCTGGGCACAAAGCCAGGAATAAGCCCTGAGCACTGCATGGTGTGTCTCCTCTCCCAAAATAAAAATAACCAACAACAGCCGAGTAACATTTTTCAACAACTGACCAATTGTATTTCCAGTACTGAAATTAAAAATGTGTAGTGAATGTAGAAAAAATTATAAGCAGATATTTATGAAGATATTGGGCTAATTTTTTTTTCACCCTCCCCTATTGGGCGAATTTTTATGTGATTGCATGCACACTAAACTAAAAGCATACTACCTAGGAGGGATAGAAGCTGGAATACTGTATGACTGAAACCTAATCATGAACACCTTTGTAAGGGTCTATCTCATAGTGATTCAATAAAAAAAATTATTTATTTATTTTTAATTTAATGTAGGAATATTGCTATTTATTCAGCCACTGATTAGGCTGTCAAAAAAAAATAAAAAAAACTACCTACAATGTTCAATGAAATGCCAAGATATAAAAAGTCTTCCTAAAGAGTTTTCATTAGATTTTACAATCAGAAATATTAGGTATTAAAGACTACTATTAATGTAGTAATATTTGAAGTAGCACTGTAGCACTGTCCTCCCGTTGTTCTTCGATTTGCTTGAGTGGGCACCAGTAACATCTCCATTGTGAGACTTGTTACTGTTTTTGGCATATCGAATACACCACGGGTAGCTTGCCAGGGTCTACCGTGCGGGTGGGATACTCTCGGTAGCTTGCAGGGCACTCTGAGAAGGGTGGAGGAATCAAACCCGGTAAGGCAAATGCCCTACCCACTGTGCTATCGCTCCAGTAAAATTAATATATACAAATTGAAAGCCACAGTTCTACACATACCTGATGTTTGACGATCTGTCCTAAAGCCAAATTTAAGTCCACCTGGCATTTGCCGAACAATTTCAGGTAGCTACTGCTTCCTGGAGAAGCTTTGGTTTGAAGTCGGTTTGAAAGTTCCAACTCAATTAATCCAGTCTCAAATCTTACTGCTCTCATTGAAGGAGTGGTGGCTGTTACTTGGATACCCTAGCAAATCAATGTTGGGAAGAGAAAGGATCCTAAATTAGTAATGTAAATACAAAGAGAAACTGTCCCAAAGATGCTAACACTCATTTTAAAAACATGCACAGAGTATCTCAAAGATGACAGAAGTAGCAACATTCTTCTGTTTTCCACTTTAGTAGGATCTTTTAAGTTATTAAATATCAGTGCTTTGAATTCAAAGTCAAAAATGTTCATGGGTTAAATACCAAATTACTTATAAATGTTTAGAAAGGATGATTTTTATCTTTAAGAAAATTATAGTAATTCCTTCTGGCTCTAAGCTCAGGAATCACTCCTAGCAGGGCTCAAGAGATCATCAGTGCCTTATTTGCTATATTATCTCTTTATCCCCCAATACTGTAAATATTAAAGTATCTATTAATAGAACAAGAGTACAAATTATTTCCTGCAGTGTTCTTAATACCTAGAAACAATAGAAGTATTTATCAATACTCATCAGTTAATTAGACAAGAGTAGGAATTATTTCCTGCAGTATTTTTTAATAACTAGAAACAACAAAAGGAAAAAAAAAAGAAACAACAAAAGGATTTACCAGTAATCAGTAATAAAAAATTGTTACATACGTATTATAAATATAGTTTTTTAAGAAGATAAAGTAAATCTAAATGTTATGACAAGGGATAGCATTTAAGATTTAAAAGAAATGCATAAACATGCCATATAGGTAAAGGTAAAGGTAAAGGCCCTCCCGTTGATCGTCGATTTGCTCGAGCGGGCCCAGTAACGTCTCCATTGGAGACTTTGTTGTTACTGTGTCTGGCATATCGAATACTCTCGGTAGCTTGCCGGGCTCTCCGAGAGGGGCGGAGGAATCGAACTCGGGTCGGCCATGTTGGCCGCGTGTAAGGCGAACGCCCTACTGCTGTGTGCTACCGGCTGGAGCGATAGCACAGCGGGTAGGGCGTTGGCCTTACAAGCGGCCAACATGGCCGACCCGAGTTCGATTCCTCCGCCCCTCTCGGAGAGCCCGGCAAGCTACCGAGAGTATTCGATATGCCAGACACAGTAACAACAAAGTCTCCAATGGAGACGTTACTGGGCCCGCTCGAGCAAACATGCCATATGCATACATAAAATAACCAATGAAGAGAAGTTCTAAGGGACAGTCAAAAAACTGAGAAAACATTTTCTTCGAGTGAATGAGTTATATTTCAGTTTGTTTTCTACATGGCATATCTGTACATTATACACATTGTCTATAAAAAGTATGTATTAATTAACTTAAAGATGTCTAGAGGTAAACTTTGCATGGTACCTTAAACTGCAAATTCAAGGAATAAAGTAGAATTTTGGGCTTATCTCCATCTGCTGTTCCATCATGTTCGTTCCAAAGAGGAATGGGCTGCTCCCCACCTAGAAGAGGTTAAATAACTGAGCATTTGAGCAATTTCTTTCAAAGAATGGTAATAGCTTTGTGTGTTACAAAGGACAAGTTTTGATTTTACAATCATTAACTCCACTTTAACAGGAAACTTTAAGCAAGTTCCATTTAGCCAAGGCAGATGAATAGAAGGAATAAGTCTACACATATAGACATTTAATAAGACCATAAAAAATTCTAAGAACATTTTTAGGGGCCAGGGTGATGGCTCAAAGGGCTGGAGCACATGCTTTGCATGCAGGAGTTTAGGATTTGATCTTCAACACCCTCTGGTCTCCAACAGGTGTTTGAGTTTGATATTAAAATGATTCATTTATACTCTTATGATTCAGCAACCACAGTTCCTGGTATATACCCGAAGTGGGAGAAAATTTATGTGGCCATAAAAACTTGCACACTGACATTTAAATCACCATTCTTCTTAGTTGTCAAAGCCCTGATGTAATGAAAATGTCCTTCAGTAGGTGAAAGGAAAAATGATCTATGATCCATCAGATAAAGAAATAGCAAGTCATAAAAAATGCAGAAAACTTAACTACGCATCACTAAGTGACAGGAGTGAAAGATGAAAGCCTATATACTGTGTAATTCCTAAGTCTAGGACAATCTGGAAAAGGCAAAACTGAGACAGTGCAAGACCAGCAGTTGTCAAGGATTATCTGGGAGAGTGGGAAGAATACATAGAACACAGGATATTTAAGGCTATAAAAGTATTTTGTAGGCTACTAAAATAGTGGATACGTTGTTATTATACATTTGTTCAAATCCAGAGAGCCGTACATCTCTCCAAGATTGACCCTAATGTAGAACATGAACTCCAGCTGATAATGACATGATACGCAGGCTCATCCATTATAAGGGATGTGCCACACTGGTGGATGCTAGGCAGTGGGTTGGAATAAATGATAAAACTCTGTGCCTTCCTCTCAACAATTTTTTTGCGAGGCTAAAATTGCTCTAAAAAAGCACAGCCTACTTTAAAGCCCATTTACTTTGTGTTGCTCTGAAACTATAGAACCCTGAAGTTTTATCCAGCTTCAGAAAAAAACTTACCTTAAAATCTGAAAGCAAAAATTTGTTTCTTACAAAATTATTTATACAATAATTTATATATTCTATGTGTGTGGTCCCAGGGGTTGAGCACAGAGCCTTACTCATGAAAGGCACACCTGCACTCTACCAGTGAGCCACCTCCTCAACTCAATAATCTTAGGTTATAAACTATCAGACACTACTAGTACAGAGGCTCCACAGATTTCATATAATATATATAACCTGGTTTAATTCATAAAGGTGACCTCTTTACTTCCTGTGACACTTCTTTTTTCCAACACAAGACAGTGTAGCCAGAAACACCACCTACAACCCCCACTCCCCCATGCCGATTGATTCTGAATTATAATTTGCTCATTACACAAAAAACTCTTTTACTGCTGCAACTCCCATATTAGGGAGAGAGGCTCTGGAGTTCTGCTGAGTCTCTTTACCTGAAGAAACTCCAAGTTAGGTGACAACCAGCAGGCTGACAGGAGCCCAGAAAACCTACTGCACATACAGTTATACTTCCCAGTCAGAGGGCTTTGGGTTCAGGGCTTCTCTCCCAAACTTGGTGTTACTGAACTTGGCTTGTGAGGTTCTGAATATGACTTCTTGAGAAGTCGCAGGAGGGATTAATGAAATGACATTAGTTCCTTCTACACTGCAGTCACACCCAAATCCTGCCTGGCACTGAAGTCCTCAGGCTGTCACACCTTAAGAGACACTCAGCAAGAACTGCCATAGATCAATCTCTCTAAAAGTGAAAAATACTGCCCCCTGGGGACCTCTGAAATGATCCATACAGTGATACAAGTTCTGGTGCGATTGTGGGGGAACTTTGTTCACTTAAAGAAGGTAGATTTCTGGGGGTGGTACATGACTTTTGTTTCTGAAAAGAGGGCAGAAGACCAAGTAAATTTGTGAAGTTGTTACAGAGTCAACTAGTTCCCACTCACTACATATTTTATATTGTGAATTAAAAGTCTAATTAAATATTGCTAAATCAAACATATTTTCATGTTTAAATGTAAAAGTGTGATTTAAAAACAAGTGTAAAAATACTCTTGAGTCAAGGCAGAATTTAGTAAAAACAGACAATTTTCCATGCAGCCAGCACATAGTAACCATTCGACAGAGACTTAAAGGTAAAATCTCAATATGGATCTAAAACTTGTCCCCAGGTAAGTGGTTAAGTTCAGACACATGGACGGGGAGACACACACGCATGCACGCACACACTTGTGCACATACACACACACAGATTTTTTGGGGGGAGATAGTGGGAGATAGGCAGCATATAGGAGTCTTGTGTATTGTTCATTCCAACACACCCATTGCAGAAAAGTGACAAGCAAACTAACACATAGGATGGGAAAGCCAGGAAAGGCACATGAAGCTTTTAAGCAGGTACTTCAAATTTAAGTCCATACTATACAATTAATTCTCATGCCATGGGTGCCTGGAACACCATTATACAAAGAAAGTGACATTTGGTCCTCTGCTCTGTACCATAAGATACTGGTTATTCATCTCACCTGAAACTTTTTGTATCACTTCATTAACTTCCTTCATGAACACTTTTTGTACAAATACCAAGTGGTTTAAAAGATCAGTTGTAAGGTTATGTTCAAAGGAACCAACCTGTCAAACAAAATAAGAATATTAGAGCGACACTAATGACTGCTTTTATCTTTAATGCAACTTTGGTCACAGAACCCATACCCAACTCTGTAGGAAAACAATTTTCTCCATACTATTTAAAACAAATATGCTGAAAGTGGATTAAAAACATTTAGATTCCTCAATACTTATGGTCAATACATTTTTATACATCAATCCCCAACTTTAAATTTTTATTACTTTTTTAAACTTCAGCCCCTAAGTAATAAATATTTGGAAAACAAATTACAATACTTTATGTAATCTCATTTCAAAACTGAGTATTTTAGAATAACTCCCTCTTCCCCCATTTTTAGGGCCACCCTCAGCAGTGCTCAATTCCTGGCTCAGAGTTCAAAGCAATGCCAGGATCTAAACTGGGATCAGCAGGATGCATGGGCTTTAACCTCTGTATTATCTCTCTGGCATAACACTGATTTTAGTGACCATTGCTATTGAGAGCTATGGACCAGAATGATTCTAAGTGACAGGATCCAGTACTTTATATGTACTTCATCTCCATAGGGTAAAGCATTGTCAGGTGCTACCTAAAATAGCTGGGCCAAAACCATCCTTCTGATGCCCAAGAAGCCTATAGACATTCTCATGGGCAAAACAGACACCATCACCCAACTTAATATAATATGTATCTTGGGTTTAGTGCAGGGAGTTACCTTTCTGAATAGATTAACTAGAAAGCAAACCCTAAAGTTCAGTGTGAACCATCTCTATAAGGCAAATCCTTCATGTTCTGATAAAAAATGAAGAGAGTAAAGCCCATTTAGCAGTATTTTCTTCAGTAAGAAATCAAATATTTCCATTGCACTGGACTCAGTATGTAGGGAGAAACACAAAAAATGGGCAAAGATGCTTTCCATGCAGGTCTTATACTGGGAGGACACCATCTCTGTGTGCACATTCACTGCACCCTTACTGAGTGTGGAGTGCGCTCTTCCCCTCTAAAGCTACATCAGCAAGCAACTGCACAACAGACCACATTAGACTTCTTTTAATGATACATCAAAAGCACTGCCAGAGTCTGGGGCACTGATTCTTCAGAGTTGGAAGCATAAACAGAATATACTTTGCCATCTATCTTTGCAGTAAATATGATTTCTAGAACCATGTATACTCATAGTTTTCCACACACTTATCTTTGTATATAGAAATCACTCACTGTAGCACTGGGTAAGCATGGTCTAAAAAAATATCAGACTTAAATATGCCTTCAGATTTGTAATGCTTCTAACAAAGAACTCAGAGTATTCTCACAGATGCTTTGGCGTCTAGAGAGTAACAGTTATAAATGACAGCTAGCACACCGCTTCTAATAGGTTTGTACTTATTTGTTTTTTTGGGGGGGGGACCACACCCAGCTGTGTACAGAGCTTTACTCTGGGCTCTGCACTTAAGGATCACTCCTAGCGGGCTCAGGGGACTATATGAAGTATCAAGAGATTAAACCTGGACCTGCCGCATGTAAGGCAAGTTTCCAACTAGCTCCAGTCCCAAGGCTGTAGTTGTTTCTAGCAAACTGATGTGGGAAGGTGTGGGGAAACACAGGGTGTTCTCTTTACCATCTAGAGAATGGGACAATTTAGAAAAATGACCTCATTTCATTCAGCTTTAGTTTCCTTCTATTCAAATCAGGAAATTATAATTAACCTGCTTACCACAAACCTAATAAAAAGCATGTATTCAAATGTCAACCTCAACAATGATGCGAATGTAAAGTGAGAAAATAATGACGAACTCTGCATGCTGGCTTTCAGCTTCCCTTCGTAAAGAGATTAGTCTGCCACTAGACTGTACTAATGTCACCTCTTGAATGACCTATGGGTTGCTGTTGCTAATTATGAAGACCTGATGGCTTTCTGCAACCCAGCTAGCCTGCACTGGTGGATGGGAAACTCAGGTAAGCAGTATGAATTCACAGAATACTCTCACACACCAGAATGTTCAGATACAACTATAGAGATAGACACATAGAAGTGTGCATGTTTGGATGCACACAACAGATTCAGAACAGAATTCTGTGGGGAAAAACGATGCATTACATATTTTTATACATATAAAACATTTCCAAATAAGCAAGCCGAAAGTGTACTCACTTCTGCCACACACCGTAGGTAATTCCCTTGCAAATAGCATCCTTGTTTGGAAGGAAGCTCATCTATGCTCCACACCTGCTCAGAGCAGCTGTCATGCTCCTCCATGACATACTTCCCTGACATTGTCACAGGAGGAAGGTTGAGACTGGCAGAAGGAGGAATAGTAGACATATCGGTGGCAGAAACTTTTGAAGTAAAACGCAATCTGTGATTTGGCAGCTCAAATGTAAATCTGGTTTGTGCACCTGTGAGAAATAAAAGATCCACAATGCACAGATCACTTCTACGCTTTATTTACAGAAAACAGTTTCAGTGAACACTTATCTCCTGATCACAGTTAAGGAATTAGGACACATTAAAATCAATTACATTGTGCTTCATGAATATTTTCAGAAGGCATTAAGATTATACAAAACTTTACGAAGTTAAACAACTTTAACCTTTACAGTAATGGGAATACACGCCAAAGAAGGGTATGATAAGAGTTTTAGCTTACTACGGCCTCCAATACTTAAAATCTGTTATATAGTTGTTCCAACAAGTATTCTTTTACTAAGGCCATTTTCCCAAGTGTTCTTGCCTGTTCCGTACAGTGTGAAGTTTGAGCACAGGCTGTTTTCCACCCAGTCAAACCTTTGGGTAGCTCCACTCAAAGAGCTGCAGTAGGAATTTGCCCCACTATCATGAAGTAGCATGTTTGTTACCTATATGGTATGACTTGATAGGTTAGTTTTGGGGTCTGAATATAATAAAACATTTTCCATAAATGTAAAGTGTATTCCACATTTACTTTCTAGGTCAGCTGTTCTTGTTCTACTACCCTTCCTACCACAAACACTACCGAGTACAAACAGCAGCTAGAAAAGCTAGAAAAGACAATCTTGGCCACTACAGCAGTGCTTTACTCCAAGAAGAATTATAGGGTCTTACCTAACTGTACACAGCACAACACACTTAAATATTTAGAGCTTCCTACTACATCTGCTTTTCACTTGCTACTTCTGCTAACTCTGAGATCAGGTAGTCTAAATTAATGACCAGAATAAATTTCTGAAAATTTACTGATTGTCAGCCTAGCAGCTGAGACATCTGCCTCTGGAACTGGAAATCTGGACCTTCCTTTTAAAAAGAGTAAAAAATCCCTCTCAAAAAAGAATATCTGAAATTATATGAAAATATATCACATGCAACCAATAAGACACACGGGCATTTGTATCATCCACACACCCAACCTAGGTTCGATTTCCTCACCACATCATGCCCCAAGCACAGCTGGGTGCAGTCCTAGACACGCCAGAGCACCAGCGGGGCTGAGTTCCAGCATGGCAGCACCTGAGCAGTGCAGCCTCCCCTTCCACTGAACTGCAGGCCTGGTCAGCCAAGAATCACCCAAGGGCCCCCAGGGCTGCTGAACACCACTCAGAGATTCAAAGGAACAAAAGAGAAAAATCCAAATTTGCCTTCTCAAATTATAGTACATTTCTTAGACCAACAGAATAAAGAGATTGAACCAATATCACCTGTCATTCCATGACTCCTCATCCTTCCCATCTTGTACTCTGCCTTCAGGGACGGCAGCAGAGCAGCTCCAATGGCAACTCCGTCCAGCATGGCACTGAACTTCAGAACCATCGGCTTCTTCTCTAAGCCTTCGGGGAGCTGGGGGAACTCATTTGTTTCAACAGGAGTCTGATTGACACTTGTTGGGGTTTTTTCTGATGGCAGAGGGGTTGCAATATCTTCCTTTGCAGACTGTGGGCTATAAAGCAGAAAGACAATTAGAAGAGCTATCTTCTATTGTAGAAAATCACTTAAGTTTTTGAAGAAAAACAGCAAAAATATACTGTAAACAGTGTTTTTTCTCAAGATCACACTATGTTAAGACTTTCTATAAAGAGCCATTGAAGAACGATGATATGGAAAATCAAGCAGGAGGAGTTTCTAATGACTCTAATGAAATGACCTACTACTGAGGGACATGAGGGCCATCCTAGTCATTACTGATGTGGAGCTGGGCTCACGCTCTCTCTGAGCAGCTATCACACACCCTGGCTGTAGCACTGGAACTGCAGTCACCACTGTTGCCACACTAGCAGCACCAACAGGAATTGAGTGCTCATGAGTACCAAGTACTAGCCTGGCTTTGAAACTTATATCCCATACACTTCAGGTAGGTGTTACTCTCTGCATTTCTGTGTAGTGGGAAGATGGAAAGTAGTGAATCTAGGGTTAGAGGAAAGATCACTCTTTGTTTTAGGGCACAATCTAAAGACACAATGGTGCTTGTCCACCTTAAAATAAGCCATGCAGACCCAGCAACAAGGACGACAGACCCGAGAACAGGTCCAGGTACTAGTGCAAAATGTGGTTGTGACACAGTCACACCTGCCCTAAGTCTCACTAGGTTTTCAGAGAAGATGGCTCACACACAGGACACACAGGACCACCATCACATCTGTCCTGGCAGTTTGCTTCTTTGCCCGTTTTTAGGCCACACCCAGCAGTGATTAGGGGTTATTCCTGACTCAGAGCTCAGCTAACCATGCAGAGCCTGGGATCGAGCATGGGCCTCCGAAGTGCAAGGCATGTACTCCAGCCCTTTGAGGTATCTTCCTGATCCAACAGCAATGTTTTAAACCTCCGCAGTCATACACTTCTTCAATGAGCTGAAAATAAAGATTGATTGGTCCAGTCCGAAAATTCTGCCTACGATATTCCTCTTAAGAGGCCCAGAAATCATTTGGCCTCCTAAACTTTACTTCTAAACTTTAGCAACACAGCATTTCAATCATACTCACTGTGATTCCCCCTCACAATCCCATCTGACAGCTCCCTATCTGCCTTGTGGTCCATGTAGGACAACCCCTAGAAGTAATCCTCATCTTCTGCCAAACTAGGCTAACAAAGAATGACTGGAAGCATAATAAGAAACCCCGGTCTGGAAGAAGATACTTACGCTGTGGAGGGCTGTCGTATGAGGTCTGAGATCTGCTTAGAGAGCTGGTGAGAACTCCTCACCATCATACTATGCAAGGTGGCCGGGTGCTGGGGAATGTTGATGCTGATAGCACCCACTTTGAACACAGCAGCATTGTTTGTCTTCAACCCTCTCTGGGCACTGTAGAGGGCCTGCGACTTGGCAATACTGCATTTCACTACAGTTCTATTAACAGAGAAGGAGAACCATTAAAATAAAGTCAAATCAAGACAAATGATCAAAAAGCATCCTCAGGTCAAGACAAATGTTTTTTAGATCATTTAATGAACTAAATGACTTATGATTCTTTTTTCATGCTTTTAAATCATATATTGAAGAACTGCTTCTAAAAATACTGAAGTGGTGGGGCCAGAGAATAGTGTACAGCAGTAAGGCACTTCCCTTGCATGCAACTGATCCAGGATCCATCTCTGGCACGATATATGGTCCCCCAGGCCCCATCAGGAATGATCCCTGAGCACAGAGTCAGGAATAAGACCTGAGCACTGCTGGGTGTCATTTAAAAAACGAAACAAAATAAGAAAATACTGAAAGGGCTGGAGAGATTGCACAAGAGCTAAAGCAGGGATCTTCCATCACAGGTCTGCAGACTGGTACCACTGGGAGGTGCAGAAAGGTTAAGGTTAAGAAACGCTGAGCTAAAGCCCAAACCTACTTGTCAAAAGTCAGGGTTCCCCTGAACTCTGAAATGGTTATTTGTAGAATTACATTGGTCTGTCCTTCCTGCATAGCCTCAAGTAGTTTACATTTATTGGGTTGCTCCCATCACAATGCTCACATTCCTGTGTTTATTTGTAACTTCTTTTTTTGTGCTCTATTAATTTGTAAATATTGTTTTTCTCTTCTCCTCCAGTCTTTTGCATAGTTAGTTCAGAGCAATGTCCTTTTGCATGGACACAAGAAGACAGTAAATGCTATGCTTTTGTAACATGGGAGTTTATTGACTCTCAGTGATACTTTTCTCCTGGGTGTCTTGTTATCTCGACCTAAGCCTCAGCTGCCCTTACTTCCTAGCACCCCCAAAAGCAGGGTCCCGACGAGAGACTGGATGGAACCAGGGCAAGCGGTAGCTATGTGCTACCCTAGCATCGAAATGGGCCTGGCCAAAGTGCCATAAAGCTTAACTATAAGTTAAGAGCTTGGTCATGGACAAATGCTGTCATGATCCAAAAAGTAGTAACCAGATTCGAACCCTGCTAGGGTTAGGAAAGATTAATCTGCCCTGAGCTCTGTAGTCTGTATCTGTGGCAAGATGTTTCCAGGAGAGCTGCCCTACAAGCCTCAATGTATCCCTTACTGTGTCCATATAAAAATAACTAGTATTAAGACGTTGATAGTTATTGGACTGAGGAAAGGAGAAAAACACCTTAAGAGGTATTTTGCCCCTGGGAAGTCAGGAAGAGCTCTGAAATACCCCAGGTGGTTTTTCAGCCCTTGAGCCTGGCAGTCAGGAAGGGCTTCCTTATGTTGATTTTGCTACCAGACTGGGTGCGGTGTCCACCAGAGTGCAGGGGAGTTAGAAGAGGAGTGGGGGAGAGACAGGAACTGGAGAAAGATGAGAGAACAGGACGGCAACATAGAGTGTGAAGAGACTAGCAAGGGGAACAGAGGGAGAAGAATGTAGAAGAAAGAGGAGCAGGCAAGTGGAGAGAGCCCAGGCGGCAAGACGGTGAGCAGAGCGATGAGTGGGAGAGACAGGAGACAGGAATGGGGAGCAGCATGAGACTAGAATGGGAGGCTTATAGAGAGACTGGGGCAGGCATGTGGGTAGAATGGAATAAATGGTAACTGATCAATCAACCGGCTTGACCCTTGTTTCATCCTCCGTCTGCCCCATGACCCTGGCTGCCCCGGCGGGGGGAGCGGCCCAGGCCTACCCCGAACATAGGCGGTGAGGGGGAGAGCTGTTGGGCCTCTCCCTGGTTTCCCCCAGAGGTTTTATACAGTTATTATATACTGTCTACACTAAATGTTATTCTACCTTAAAATAAGGAGCTTACAAACGAAAATTGTGCTCACATATAAATAAAAGTATTAATACATGAGCTTGACACAAAATTCCACTTTGCTTCCCTGGTCATAATTCTTCTTTTCTTCTATTTATTTTAAGGATCTGAACAACCACTATGGACTTCTACACTGAATATGAAAAGACAAAAAACGCTACATTGCACATAAGAAATTAATTTAACAATAACTTCATATGCTAAATTAACAGGAAGAAAGAAGTTTGGAATATGCATTTTGCTTTGATTTTTAGCACTGTTAAAGAAATGATCAATTGACAGTGAGCAAATACTTCTTAATTAAAAACAGCTAAGCTCTACAGGCATGGACCTAAAACACAGATTGACCACGTTCGTGCCTAGAAGAGAACCTGAACCATGACAGGTACTTACTAAATTTTGTTAAAGGAGGAGAAGAATAGAGAAGAATAACCCACAGCAACACCACGGAATCCCATAGATAGCATGTGATAAGTCACGGATGTATAACTTTGAAGGAAGAACAGAACACTTCATTATCCCACTGGTGAGGGCCAGATGGTAAAAGCATAGCTCTAACACAAATACTATCTTTCAAAAGGGCAAGAGTCTCATGAATGGATTTGGCAAAATACATAAAATGCACATTTCAATAAAATACATGTCCATTCATGTGTATTTATTTCTACAAAGGCTACAAGGGATCCACTAAACAATTATAGTCTCAAATCTCTAAAGAATCAACTAAAAAATTTAACCTCTATCAGAATAAACACAAAGAAACTCAACAGTGGCTTTGTTAATTTTTACCCAGAGTAAAACTTGATACTATCTAAAACAATGAGCATCAGAGAACTGGATGATTTCTTCCAGAGAGGCAACTATTCTCAAAGAAAATTACTGGTAGGAGAAAATATCTGAGATTGGGTTAACCAGCATGAAGGCAGATTTTAGGATGTGACCAAGACTGGATTTTCAATTCTTTGTAAGATGTGTCTTTATAATTAATCTTCAGTGAGATTCCACTTTAAAATCCCTTCCAACATGAGCCAGAACACACCAAGATCATCACATACTTGCACTGGCTTTCTCCATAGAGTAGCACTCAGCCGCCACACGTTCCATCAGGGAACCTGATTTCAGCAAACTCTACCCTCCTTCCCTGCCACACCCATGCAATCTCAGAGTCTATTTCAATACAGCTCTGAGTGAACACAGACAAAAGAGTGGGTTTCCATTATACCCCCAAAGTCAGACTGGAGCAGCTCAGACAGGATTCCCTTTTTTGCCCCATGAAGAATGCCTGGCTTTCAGATGTCAGCTCCACAGGAAGGAGTCTCTGGATACCTCACCCATACATACAAACAATATGATATTCTTACTCTGATGAGACAGAGCCAAAACCTGCCAAGAACATCTGATGGACTCTGAAGAAAGTGCATGTATCAGAGATGTAATAAGGCCCAGAAGATAACAGTATTTTCGAAAAGCTGCCTACATAAGTTACCTAATCACAATTCTTTGTCATACAATTCTTGAAAAGTCATATAGCTTGTAGTATGTATAAGACATCTACACAATAGTCAAAAATCTCTCCAAAGAGCAGATTATGAAAACGTGTATACCAGGTATTCCTTGCATATATAAAAAGTTTCTAGCAAGTGACCAAGAAGTTAGGGTGAGGAAGTCATAAAAAGTACTTTATAAGGTTCCCCCAGATCTTCAACAACTACAGTGCTTATTTGACCAAGGCAAAATTTTCTCTTATTATTTCCTTTGGGCAGGCCTTAAAGGCAAGTCCTCCTGTCTACACAGTGTGCTAAGTGTCTACACTCCTCCTACTCTCTCGCCTTACCTCCCCCCCCCCCCCCAACCAGGCCTCCTGCCCAACCAGGTACAAAGGTACAAAGAGGTACAAAGACGGACTGCTATCCCTGTCCAGATATGTCCCGCCTGATGCCGTCAATTTCAGTCCAGTTTTGCCCCCAAATCTTTGCAACTTTCATATAAGTAATGTGATCACATGTTATTCAGTCAAATATTAAAAGACACTGGGGTTTTCTTGCAAGTTGACCCTCACCCCCAAAAATCTAAAGGTAGACAGGAGTGGCTTCCAAGTGCTACCCAAACAGGAAAGCATTTCTTGGCTTACTGCTGAAGTCTAACAGAGTACCCAGGATATAATGTCCACCTGGATCAACTGCTAACTGATCAGTGTGACCACACAACAGTGCAATCCTCCACTATGAAGATGCATCCTTGAAAACAGACCCAGGGAACTACAAGATCACCTTCCCCTCTCAGCCAAGGTGCCTCCCAGCACCCAGGCCAGGGGAACCCCAGCAAGTGCTAGGGCGGAATTAGAAGTGGGAGTTGAATTCGGCTCGGCACTGAGGTGGTGGCCAACTTCTTCACAGGTACCACACAGCAGCGGGGGAGAGGGGGCGGGGACATGGCCTCCAGGGTAGCAGTTATTTCCCCCTTCCCAGTGCCCTGGACTTATCTCAATTTCCATTACCTAATTCTGAGGAGAACATCCTGGCTATCCCAGTTATATTAGGCCAATAGTCTAGTAGCCTATTCCAATCTCACCAAAATAACGGTGAACACAAGAAACTGAACAAGTCTAATAGAAAAGAACACACCCTTTGAAACTTCAGTAGAGGGCTCACATATGACACAGAGGAGCACCAAAGAGGAAGGTAGTATTTTAGAAGGATAAAAGGTGACCACCATTGACTGAGCTCATCCAGAATCCTTTCTTGCAGTGAGCGCGGTACACTGATAATGAACTGGAGGGTCCCACCTCCATACTATCACAACAACATGAAGAAACAGCACAAATCCCTACCACGAGGAGAGGAGGAAGAAAAGAGTCCAGAAGACTCAACAGGGATGATCCAAAAGTACGACCTCTCTGATAAAGAATTCAGAGATGAAATGCTGAGGATGATCAATGAACTCAAAGAAACAGTGGAACAGACACCCAATAAGTTAAAGAAACATGAAAGAAACAGTGAAATGGAAAGCAAGAAAATACAGGAAGAAATGAGAGCAGATATAAGAAAGCTACAAACAGAAGTGTCACTAATAAAGAACTCAGTAGATGAAATAAAAAAAACTTAGTGGGTGCCCTCACCAGTAGAATGACCACAGCCGAAGACAGAATCAGTGAGCTTG